TAATGTAAATTTAAAGTTCAGAAAACATCTTCCAATCCAACAATAGGCAGCTGCTTATATACAAGTCAAATAGTTATGCTACATTCATGAAAACTCATAGGAATTTTAAAACATAAAATGAACTAATACTCATAAAACACTGCATTTCATTCACTTTGACTTACATTACTCCTTCACAACTTATTTTTCTGACTGTGACTGTCTATGGGATAGTTCACACAAAAATGAACATTCAGTGATTTACTCACTCTGTGGTTGTTCTAAAGCCACATTATATTCTTTTTTATTTTTTAGAACACAAAAGGAGAAATAACAAAAAAACTGTCCTTTTGTCCATTTAAATAGAAGTAAATGACCTTCTTCAAGATTTAAAGTCCCCCTCATTAATTGTATCCCTTACAACTCATCTTTGAGCATCAAAATTACATATTTAAATGTTTTTTTCCTTGAATGTAACTCTACACCCTTGGCCCATTTAGTGTATGCGGCCATGAGTATACAAATGTGTGTGTCATGTGACCAGTTTGTGACGTCAGAAACACCAGCGAACTGTTTTCCTTCTAAATATTAGCATCCTTAGAAACCCTTTGAACAACTTTAGTGGAGAAAGACATATAGTTCATTATAACATCATAATATACACACCAGTTATATCCCTATACCAGCTATATTGCTAAAGATACCTAATTTTTAACATCGGGATAACACAAGGGAGTTTCTTGACTCAGTGAAGAGTAGCCTATGAGAGAGTGACCATCAATTGACCCACCATTTATTTTTTTAGATTTTGTACTATATGAATCATATTGTACGGAGGCGTATTGCATTCACTTGAAGAAAAAAAATCTACTCTGTTTTTCTGAATTAAGGAGTTAATTTTTCATGAGAAAAAAAAACTCTGTTTTTCTGAATTAATGAGTTAATTTTTCATGAGAAAATTTTTTTTGCTCTGTTTTTCTGAATTAATGAGTTAATTCAGAAAAACAGCAAAAATAAATTCTCATGAAAAATTAACTCCTTAATTCAGAAAAACAGAGTAGATTTTTTTTCTTTATTGCTGTTTTATAACATTGCTATTTTTTTCTCTCATAAGTCTTTCGCTGTTGTGGTTTCACTGAAGCTGTGATCTGATTGGTTCATTGTGCTCTGGTGGGCGTGTCCACGTTATTGAAAGTCTTTGATAGACGAGGAGTGTGCAGAACACAGCAAACACTGAATGATTATTAGAGCCACAACACAAAAAAAAATCATTCGAGTAAATATCATAGATTATTAATTTATTTATTAATTATAAGAATTATATATATTTTTGTCTTTAACAAGCAGATCAATACAACATGCACATGTTAATGTTAAATATTAATAAATGTCTCTGTTGATCCAGTGAAAATCTATACAACAGCTCCACCTGGTGGTTTTTCACTAACATCTCTAATCTCTCACTTGCTGTGATATGCATATGCTAGCATAAAATTCTTAAAAGTTGGTATGCAAAAAAAAAAAAAAAACATGCAATATTGTTTTCTCATTACTTCATGCCTGTTTGTTTTACAATATTAAATAAACATGCTTTTTATAACATGCTGTTGGCATCCTCGCTATTAATTTAGTAGTGTAGTTTCTGTCATTGTACTCATGAGGGCAGACTCGAGGAAGACAAAACCTGATCCCAGATCAGTAACTATTTTCTATTTAAAGGGTTAGTTCACCCAAAAATGAAAATTAAGTCATTAATTACTCACGCCCATGCTGTACCAACCCCGTAAGACCTTCGTTCATCTTCGGAACACAAATAAAGATATTTTTGATTGAATCTGAGGGCTGTATCACTCTTCCATAGACAGCCTGAGGGACTGCCTCTTGACGGCCCAGAAAGTCATTAAAAGAAAAGGTTTAAATATTCCATGTGCCTACAGTGGCTCAACTATAACTTTATCAAGCGACGAGACTACTTTTTGTGCGAAAAAAAAAACCGTAAATAACGACTTTATTCGACTTTCCATTACTTCCTTATGGGCGCATGCGCGAGAACTGAGACGAGACCGTTCTTCTTCGACTACTTTTTGTTACCGGCTGCTCACCGCTTAGGAGTATTAGCGCCCCCTACCGTATAAGATGACGTACTGATATAGCCGGAGGCACAAAACGTTCTGTTTACAAGCAGTACGTCATCTTATACGGTAGGGGCAGTGGTGGAGGAAGTACTGAATCTCAGTACTTAAGTAAAAGTACAAATACCCAGATAAATATTTACTTTAGTAAAAGTAGAAGTAACACAATGACAACCATACTTAAGTAAAAAGTAAAAAGTACTTTATTTTAAATGTACTTTAAGTATTAAAAGTAAAAGTACTTGCATAACAATTTATTATCTTAATGTCTATTTTCTAATGATTAATAAAACATTTAATTCTAACTCATTCAACCTAATAGCCTACTCCTATAATGATGTTCAATAATGATGGAAAAAAAATGTCACCATTTCTGAAACAAGCTTGCAATTAGGCAATATCATGCTTATCCTTACTATATGTTAATAACTATGTTTGGCAGTAAACGCGATTCATTTATGGTGTAATTCTGAACCTCTTGGCTTGCCCTAACCAAACCAAACGTATATTACACACGGTGTGTTTCCTATGCACGTAAAAACTAATTTTCGCGTATGAGTTGCATGATAAACACACTGCGTGTGAGACGCATTTAGTGTGACCGGGTTGATATACTGTATCTATGGCAACCAAACGTCACTGGTGAGACAAACGTGCAACGAACGGACGGTCAGATTACGTTTTGGCAGGGGAAAAACTGATCAGAAAATGTAACGAAAATGTAACAGAAGTTGTAGAAATGTAGTGGAGTAGAAAGTATAATAATTGCTGCAAAATGTAACGAAGTAAAAGTAAAAAGTATGCACTATTTATTCTACTTAAGTAAAGTAAAGATACGTGAAAAATGTACTTAAGTAAAGTAACGAAGTATTTGTACTTCGTTACATTCAACCACTGGGTAGGGGGCGCTAATACACCTAAGCGGTGAGCAGCCGGTAACAAAAAGTAGTCGAAGAAGAACGGTCTCGTCTCAGTTCTCGCGCATGCGCCCATAAGGAAGTAATGGAAAGTCGAATAAAGTCGTTATTTACGTTTTTTTTCGCACAAAAAGTAGTCTCGTCGCTTGATAAAGTTATAGTTGAGCCGCTGTAGGCACATGGAATATTTAAACCTTTTCTTTTAATGACTTTCTGGGCCGTCAAGAGGCAGTCCCTCAGGCTGTCTATGGAGGACTGATCCAGCTCTCAGATTCAATCAAAAATATCTTTATTTGTGTTCCGAAGATGAACGAAGGTCTTACGGGGTTGGTACAGCATGGTGGTGAGTAATTAATGACTTAATTTTCATTTTTGGGTGAACTAACCCTTTAACTTCCTTTGAGCATTCAACATGAAATCAGCACGAGGCTAATAGACAAAGCTTGTATCTACGGCCTGTTAATGTGTTTTAATAAAGATTGGAACAAAACAGTGGCACCACTGAGAAAATAATATTACTGAATAAAAACAATACCATTTAACACTTGGTCTAAGCTTTCTGCATGATGTACACAAAGCACACCCTCTGCCAAATGTTTATTATTATTATTATTATTAATAATAATAAGATAACATATGAATATTGTTTCATAAAAACATGCATCAAAGACAGAAACTTCAAAAACCCTCTGCAACATTATATAAAATAGACTCGCTCCCTCGGTCTAAATTGGGGGAACTGGAGTTCTGAAGATCTCCTATTTTAAGATATGGGGTAAAATATGGGCTAGTGGGTAAGTTGAGCCACCAATTAAACTTAAGGGAACTGTGCAAAAGATGATTTTACCAAGGATAAGGCATTATGGCATGAATTCTGTAAAATTGCTTTGAATAAAATGAAAAAAATATATATATTTTGCATATATGGTGCTTTATTTCATTTTAAAATATTTAAAGACATGAGATAGGTGGAAAAAATATATTTCAATGTTTTTTCATTCTTTTGCAAAAGTTTTGCAATACCCTGATAAACTTTGCATTCGCTCACAAAACCTTTGCAAAATTTCAGCAAGAGAATGCAAAAGTGCTGAAATATATTATTTCCTCCCATCTTTCAAGGCCTCAGTACTCGGACATGTCATCTGTGGCAAATCTTCCACTTGGTCTGTTATTGGGGTATCGCCTAATCTACATTCCTAAATGTGATTTAAAATCAGACCTATTGTTTGTTTGCTTTTCATGTTTGTCTTTTCTCTCTTTTTTTGCAATTCTCAGTGCAGAATGAAAGCTTCAACTGATGAAGGGTGATTCAAAAAGTTTTTAGACTTTAATGTGAAGAAAATAAAAAAATACTTTCGATGAGGAATTTCACAATGCAAATCTCGTCACTTCTCTGTTCAGCCAAATTGTGCTTCAAATATGGGAAGTACCCAAAAACTTTATCCCATTTCTCCAAGAAAAAAAAAAAAAAAAAAAACTTTTTCAGAGTGGCATTTTCTATGAGCTAATATGCAACTATATATTTCACGGTTGCAACTTTACTTCTAATACTTGTGACATCTTTATCTTAAATTGTGACTTTATACTGTATTTCACAATCATGACTTCATATCTCACAATTGTGACTTTATTTCTCAGAAGCACACCTTTTTTTTGCATTTCATTTTCTTATAATTCTTTGTTTATAAACTGTCACAATATCAGGATAAAAACACCTACAACAATCCCATTAGAAATCAATCTCAACATCTGGACATCAGAGGACTCTGCCAGATCCGTTCAGGTATGACATTTGTGATATTATAGGGTGAAGTACCCCTTTAAATACGATTGTCACTCCTCTTTTGAGTGCTTTAATCTCATTCTGTCCACATGGGCTTTTGTAATGACAACCAAATCCTACAAACAAATTAATTATGATAGTACTTAGGCTATATAACAACAACACTGAAATAATAGTAGTAGCACTTACCAGATGCTGTGTTCCCTTCGACATGCCGTCACACACGTGATTCTCAGGTGAACGAAGCTTCTGTCGTCATAAATCACGAGCTGGTGGCACAAAATAAATAAAAAACGACATTCATACAATACCTTTTGTACTGTGTCTTTTCGTACAAGAAAGTTCAACATATACTATCAATGAAGCGGGGCCTGCATTTTTTTTATCAATTTTATTTAGATAAACATGATACTAATATCTTGACTACATGAAAATAGTTTTTAGTGTTCGAAAAATGCAAATTTGCACAATTTTACTTTCCTCTCAACCCTATGTCCACTATTATGGATTCACTGAAGCTGTGATCCGATTGGCTCTCTCTGCTCTGGTGGGCGTGGCTGCTGGTTTATGACATCAGATTATCAAGACGAGTTTGAAAGAGGACAGAAAGACGTTCTGCTACGTTTGATCCTCTCACACAATTAAAACAACTGTGAATGCTGCTTGCAATGTATATTTAGTCACTGCATAGCACTGAATATAGAAAAGTAAAGAACACGCATCCTGGTTTATTTAAACGAGTAGGGATAGTTTACCCAAAACTGAAAATTAGCCCATGATTTACTCACCCTGAAGCCATCCTTTGGTGTAGCCTATATGACTTTCTTCTTTCAGACGAGATATATTAAAAAAATGTCCTGGCTCTTCCAAGCTTTATAATGGTGTGTATATTTTTTGGAAGTCCCTTGTGATATATCCATAATAAAAGTGCTCTGCGTGGTTAATAAACACCTTCTGAAGTGAAGCGATGCATTGGTCTAAGAAAAATATTGTAATATTTTGCCGTAAGTCGACTTGCGTACTAGCCTGGCTAACGCCAGACCCAATTCTCGTTGAGACTTGGGTCTGGGAACCATAGATATCTATATAAGGGTAGATGACTCACGGCGGAATATTTATCGTCATCACCGGCGGCCATCTTGTCACAGACAGGCTTTCTGGTGGGCTCGAGTAGGGGGAGGCTGCAGACTTGGAGCCGGCAGTTTTACGCCCCTGACAGTTTTACGCCCCGACAGTTTTACGCCCCTGACAGTTTTACGCCCCGACAGTTTTAAGCCCCTGTTGTTCCTGATGCGTCCAGTAGGGGGAGACTACACTAATGACGTTATATGAGCCTAGTCCTATTTCATTACAGATCTATAGCATCAGACCTTCTAGAAGCGACATGAATTGAGGTATTTTAAATTATCTGCTAAAGTTATTGTTGTTGATTGAATTGTAATGATGCAATATTGATTATTTCTAAACGATAAGCTAAGATTCGATGTCAATTCAAAAGATGGGTCTATAATTTACAGTTTTTTACAATCACGTTGCTACTATTTTCATAACCTTGATGTCATTTTTCAAAACTCTAGACACAAAACTCAAAACGGTTATCACTTGTAATACAGGCTGTCTAATGTTCAAAACATTGCAAAGTGCATTCACATCTTTAAAGAAATCTTGCACTTGCACAATCATTGGTTCAAAAAACAAATTTACTGTGAAATAGGCCTAAACAAAACTATCACCCACACACAAGCAACCGTTAGTTTCACTGTCATTTTTCGTACAATCATTAAATGTTGTAGAAGAAAATAGGTGATCCAGGTTTCATTATGGCACATGTACAGTAAACACATCTCTGTAAAGTAGGCTGCAGTAGTAGGAATAATACACACATAGAAGAATCATTCAACAAAGTGTGTGATATATTGATGCAAAACACTACAATCACAACATAGATTTATTGAATCTCATTATCTTGAAACTTTCATGATTTACTGTAAACATGGAAGATTGTGTGTCATGCAACAGTTATCATTTTGAGCAGTTGTATCAATTGATAGATCATTGTAAGGAAATGAATAGACACTCATTTGAAATGCAATGTGTGAATTGCCTTTTGAAATAGTACTTTGATGTTAAGTTGTGTTATATTGAACAGGTGATTTTTGTTGAATGAACAAATGATTTAAGTTTTATGTATATTGTATCCAAGCAATTGAGAAAACGGTTAGAGTTTTTAAAATGTCATTTTTCAAAACTCTAGACACAAAACTCACAACCAATGATCAAAATGCACATCAAGGTTCTGAAAATAGTAACAAAGAGAAGGTAAAAAACTGTTATAAAGTCTATTATTTCGAGAGACAATAAAAGTTGGCTACTTGATGGTCAGGTTGATGTTCTGTCTGGCTCAAACTTAGCAAACTTAACCACATATAGGTTTAAAAGCTGCCCTAGTCTACTCTTTACCTGCTCTGTCTCACTCACTTTTAAAATTCATTTAATTTTTATTTTTTATCTTGTCTGTCTTTACCTTGCGTGACATGGCATCCTCTGGTGAGACCCAGTTTACTCCTTGCATTTAAACATAGCCTACTCCACGTGGTTTCTGGAGCAACATTACAGTGGATATTGGAAATGTGTTAATTACAGTTTATGATGTGTACACAAACACATTTATAATAGGCATGTTTGTATGCATGTATGTATTTGAATGAAAATCTCTCTAAGTAAAGATTCAAACTGCACACTCACTCTAATATTTGTTTTACAAACATAATACATACAAACATAAATGCATTATAAAGCCCACATTAAAAACTTTGGCCCATATGGTTTAAATGTATATTTTGGTTTAAGTTGTTTTTGTTTTGTTTTTTTATAAATGAGACGATCTAATTTTCGAATGTATATCATACAGTTTTCTTAAAATAGCTTACTGATCTGGACTAAAATGTATGTGCACTTGATGTGTGTTTTATCATACTCTGTCTTTAGTTCTTCTTTTTAACTTGTATCTCATTAAGGTGTGTATCTGCTTTAGCTACTTAAGAAAATTAAAATCTCTGTCTCTAAACTTTTATAAACACCTATCTTTTGAACCCCCAAAAAATGTTCAACCATGACATTGTGCCATTATTTTATAACCATTGTTTCTACCACTATTCAACTTTAGCTTCTTTTGTAAATAAATAACCTTTTTGTGAACAAAAACATTGTCTCTTTCTTTTAAATGGCCCTTGGAATTTTAGAAAAGGGTTAAATTGTGTTTGCCTTCATTAAATGTTATGTAGGACACTGTTCTAGCTGTATGATGACCAATTGTAAATATTTCAGCAGATATTTCATTAAGGATCCATGTGATTAAGTACTGCATATCTCAAGGCTTAATATGGTACATAAATGTAACTTTATATACTTCACAACAACATATATCAGTCAGTTTCCTGTATATAAAACAGTTTAAAATAATTAATTCTTCAGTAGGTCAAATATCATTACTTTGTCCATCTGATTCAACTATGTGTATTAGCCTGAGTGAAGCCCAACTGAACATCTGGATGTTTTAATCCTTATAGTGCAGATAAATCCACTGTCTATAACGTTTATTTAAATAAACAAATACATAAAAATTAGTTGAAATCTAGACGGTTATTAATGTGTTTGTTTCCAGCGTCGTTTTACGTTATTTCGCCGTAAATCCTTCTCCCCCTACTGGACGCATCAGGAACAACAGGGGCTTAAAACTGTCAGGGGCGTAAAACTGTCAGGGGCGTAAAACTGCCGGCTCCAGGTCTGCAGCCTCCCCATATAGGTGGGCTCTGTGGTATCTGATGTAAGAAATACTCTTATCTTGTTGAAATCTTGACGGATTTACGGTTTGGTTTCTTACAAACGTTATTAACGTGGCTATAATTCTGGATGATTATTTATTTATACACTTATTATTCATAAGTATGCAGTATCATAACTACATCTCTGCCGTTTATAACAAACCAGACTGTTTAAAAATCTGTAGAAAATTGAGCAAGTTACGGTGATTTAAAAAGTACATGCACCATCAAAACAATGTTACCAGTGAGCGAGCTGCCTGTGACAAGATGGCCGCCAGGTGCTGACGTCGAGGCGTGGTTTACGAATGCCCGGCGCCGTTTATTGGGTGCTAAGAATGCCTATCAAATGCGCCTGTACTTAGCTCATAGCCAATCGTTTCAATTAGAAAAACACTGAGTACAGTTTAACATAGATGTTGTTATTTGCATTGGAAATTGTTTGCGCGTGTACTTCACAAGTTTTAAAAAATAATAATTTAATTTAATGACTAAAGTCAACAACTTTAATCGGGTAAGTTACGTGTGCACAGCTGAAAGTTAATAAAGTGGTAACATTAGCTGTTATATTGATATTGAAAAGCAACACAACTTAGTGGCACTGTGACAACCACAGTAGGTAGTCTACAGGCATAATGACAATATGATATTAATAAATATCACTTACCATTTATAAGTTAAATGGACTTCGTCGACGACGATGCCTAGCAGGTTGGTAATACAACTCCGTGGCTAACATGTCTTGCCACTTTACGCTCATCCAGGCCTCGGGAGTCGGGACTGCCGAACAGAAGTTGGTATCGACAATTCTTTATCGCATTTTCTTTCTCGAGACACAACTGAGCGGCAGATATTCCAAGGTTGACCGCCTCCCTGGTCCTCCATTGGGCGATTAATGTCGAGACAACAATAACGACTGGGGTCTCGCGAAGTTTAACACCAAAACGGCTCTTTTTTTCAAAATAAACTTGCATTCTAAACTACTTAAAACAATATCTAAGGCAGGCTGCATCAAACGGTAGCTTCGCGTCTGCTGCCATGTTGAATCCATAGATAAACAAACTGCGCAGGTGTGAGGGATAGATGTCGTCATCGTCTTGCTGCTCCCTCCCCGTTCTGTGATTGGTTCCCGTATTACAGAAGGTTGAAATTGTGGTTACTGAAATTGAAGACATCTGTCATTTGTTTTTTTATTGTAACGTTTCATCAAGTTTTTGGAATGACTTGGGATCTTATTGTTTTTCTAAAGTTAATATGAATGGTAGTCTTTGCATCAAGGATATCATCTGTTTTTTTGAATGTCCAAATGTCCAAACAAGTCCTTAGAATCTACTCTTAACTTCTTGATAATTGTGGCAAAATTTTACTTTCACAAGCAAAGATTTCTTATGAAAATTCCTATTTTTAATGAGTTTTTATGTGAAGTAAATTATTTAATCAAATCTCTTAGGAAAATTGATAATAGAAAATGAGATCTTTCATGTACCAAGATGATTAGTAGCCTATCTGTTTGCTGTTTGTTTTATTTTTTTTATTTTTTTATTTTTTGTTTGTTTCTTTTTTCACTCTTCTTTCTTTCTTTATTCTGTTAATGCAAGAATGATTCTACTTGATCAATATATACATTGTTGAAATGATCCAGATGTTTAAGAGGTGCATGTTTGCACTATTGTAAAGCAATTTTTGAATAAAATAAAAATAAAAAATAAAAAACCTAAAAAAAAAATTAAATAAATAAAAAATTCTGTGATTGGTTCCCTAAATGAGGCGAAAAATCTGGCCATGGTATCCAGACATGGCTTTCAGCGTGAATTAACATCGCTTCACTTCAGAAGCCCTTGATTATTGGTATTTCATATCTTTTGGATCTCCATCAAAAACATGTTCCAGAAAGGTAATATTTTTGGGCAACTCCAGAATACATGAAGATGATCAACATCAGCATGCACACCTATCCTCCAGCATAATTGTGGTGTAGATAATTGTTTACTTTTAATTTTGAGGGTAATGAAATAACGCACTAGATTTTTTCCATGCAAACTCTTTCCATCTTTGTGATTCTATGTTGTGTCAAGCAAAATACCATTCTTCATCTGGAATTTCTTCCCCTAATTCTCTGTGTTTTTTCTATTCTCATGTCCCGATAGAGATAATAGATTATTCTGGGATTATTCTCTTTATAGGAATCAACTATCAACTCTGTATTCAGCTCCAAATTAGCCATTTTTAAAACTCTCTTTCAAAATAGTCCCGTATTTGTTTAATATCCATATTATTATTTTTTTATAAATCATAACATTCTTTTAATTCAGCAAAACTTTTACATTTTCCTTGTGAAACAAAGATGCACACAATGCAGTCAAACCTTTAGTTAGCCATCTCCTGGATCCTACATCAAGAAGCCCTGGTTTAAACTTATCAAATGTTCCCCATCTTAACAATTTTATCTGATTTTTAGGGTTTACTGGTGTGGAGCACTTTTATCATGGATGGATAGGCTCTGATGGACTTCCAAAAACATATACCCATTGACTCCAATTATAAAGCTTGGAAGAGCCAGGACATGTTTTTTAATATAACTCCGGTTGTATTCGTCTGAAAGAAGAAAGTGATTTACACCTGATGGCTTCAGGGTGAGTAAATCATGGGTACAAACTCCATCAGACTCTCACAATGAAAAACTGTCAGAATAACCTTAACATATTGAAAGTTTGCCTATTAAATGTTCTGTAACTGTGAGTCAAAATGAAACCTGCATTTTACTTACTGAAGAAACATGAACGGTTTGTGCTTATGAACGTTGATGAATGTATGTGTCTTAAATGATAAAGGGCTTCTTATCCACTGCTCATATGAAGCTTATCAAAACGTCAAACTGTATCTAGAAGAGTCTGTGTCGAGGCCTAAAGCTGCAGTAACTAGTCGTTGAGCAAGAAAAACATTCAGCTTTTATATTTTTCTCATATTTTGCTTTCTCATCATGTGATTGGCTGTTCGCTACTGATGATGTCACACCTAAACACCTAAACTCAGGATCAAAGCCCGAGTTGACAGAGAAAGTTGATGATCAGCATGTGACCAACAAAGGTTGGATTGGTTTGGTTTTGTCAACTCGAAACTAGTCCTGTAATCCTGAGTTTATTCAACTGCCATCATGGTACAGACCCCAGGTCAAGACCAAACCAAGACAACAAGACCAAGACTTTTGAGGGTTTGAGATCATTAAGATCAAGACAAAAACACGGCAGGGTGAGACAGAGTCGAGAACAGACCAGCTCTCCTTAAATTATTCTAAAAGATCCACATTTACTGCCTGAGAAATATCTTATTTAATCAATATGATGAATCCCATCAGCAACCAGACATCACTCCGTCAGACACATTGAGGGGGGTCATAGGTCCCTATTAGTGACATGATGACATCATTTTAATTTAGGGGTGAACTTCTGATCTCAGACTATTGTTAATCCTATATAATTCCTGATATCTAGCCTAATACACAACCTGCTTTCAAATTAACGCCCTTTAATGCCACTGTATGCGAATATGGAAATAAACTAGCATTGCTATGGCTATTAATTAGTGTTTTAGACACAAAATACAAAAGCAATGAGGGAGGTTTTTAATACACAAAAAGTGTATAAATGTGGGTACTTTCCTCTAACTTTTTATTTTTATGAACTCTTCTACTGCCATCTGGTGCTCAAAAAAAGGAAGTGCATCTATTGAATCTTTTCATGGCAGGGGAGGAAAATGCAAAACTTGAATTGTAATGAAAAAGAAAACTTTTATTATTTTAATAACATGCCAAATTTTACCAAAAACTTTATTATTATCACCAATTTCAGCTAGTTGAACAACATCGAATCTTACGGTCACATTTCATCTCTGGGTGTTTGCAGTTATGATTAACACAACAAGAGAATATTTTAAGGTATTTTATTTTTAACTGTATAAGTTCAGATTTAATGTACTCTGAAGATTTGATTGTGCACATACAGTACATATAGAAGGAAGCGACACACATTTCACACAATTTGACCTTTTTATTATTTATTAACATTGAATATATAGGTACATTGTTTATGATTTACATGTTAAAACAGCTGTTAGGAAGCAAAGTAAGGGTTTCTCCACTAGAGGACATATACGATCAGAGACATGCATATATATCGAACATGAACACGTATTCCTCAAGCAGATGCTTTTATTAAATTTAATAAAACAACACAAAACACAACACAATGTGGTTATAGGTTATCTAAGTTAGGATTGAGCAATCTTTTCATCCTTTTTGCTATAAACGCCACAAGAGTAATACTTCTTCTTGTTATTATTACAAGTGCAACAAGAGTAATTTTTAAGTGCTTCAGCATAAATACAAATAAATTTAGATCACATATAAAATCTGACATTCACATCTGCTTGAAAGATGAACAGATTCACTTCAGATCAGATCCTCATTGAAGCATAACTACTAAAGCGAAATCAGGCACACATTTAAAATTTCAATGCAAATAATATTAAAGAATGTCAACTTAAGTAGTTGTATTCATTTTTTTTTTTTTTACAATAAAAGTGTAACAAAGGTCATGTGATCTCAGTGATCAATGCTGAACATCCACATTAATCTGGCACTGGTGTTATTTACATAAAACACCACATTCACAGGTTATAGAAATACTGCGGTGGCAAAAGCAATTATAAAAAGCATAATTACTTAAACTTGCTGTCTACAATCACATAAAATCAAATCTGTAAAAGTCAGATGAGTATTATGTTAATAGAGTAACAGATATGAAGCGTAACATTATAAAAACAATATATAAAACTGTTTGATAAACACATTTCCCTGTTCATCTGAAACCAAAGAAGCTTTTTTTTACAAGTTTAACAGCTCAACAGACGGCTTCATTCCTCACTTTAAGGCTCATATAAGCAGAAATGTGTTTTGTTGTTGTAGCTGGAGCTGAAATGTTGATGATGTCAGAGTGATTGACACTGGTGGGCGTGTCTTATCTCACCACGAGTAATCTCATCCCCTCCTGTTTATTCTCTTCATCCAGATCTTCTTCATTCACCGGCGGCATCTCTATAGTCGTATCATTCACTCGGTTTCCTGAGGGATCTGCCAGAAAATACACACACAATGACAGATATTAAAAAGAGAAATGTACTAGTCTAGATTTCAGAACTTAAGCTGAACACACACTACAAGATAATCAGGTCGATTTTGGGCCCAGTTCTCCCCATCCAAGTACGATAATTATCTTGATGGATCTAGATGATCTTGTCAGGTTTTCCTGTGGTGTGAAGTGTGTTAAGAGTGACTGAATCTGCTCTGAAGAACATCAGGGTCGGACCGATCTCAAATAATCGTTAATATCCAACATATTGAATATTTACAATCAGAAATCCTGTTTTGTGGGATGAACCCCGAGGAGAAACGCACACACACTCTGCAGACCGTCACAAAACACAATAAATAAAATGAAAAAAAAAAAAATAAAGAAATGATTAAAATAACGAAAGTTACACCAGATCTGACTCTGGGGGTTTCAGACTTTTTGATAACAAGAATCCCCATATATACTTATCCCATCATGATCCTAAAATACTATATATGAGCAACATTCAATAGTAATGTTATAAACAAGCACCCCTTGTAGCCTCTCAGGGGCCCTGGAGCACAGTCTGAAAACCTGTGTGCTTTACAATCATAATTCAGAAAATAAACACACCAATAACATGACACAATATTATAGTTTAGTTATTGTATTTCTCGTTGTTTTCATTTCATTTGTTGTAAAAACAGTAAGGGAAACATCACTCAAATATTAAACTGAAAGACAATACTCACTACATGCAAAAACTATTGTAAGACTGGAAAAACTTGTTAAAGAGAAAATATCTGACCAGTGGCCTTTAAAGACAAAAGGCATTGCTTGCAAATTAACATTTGACACCCTACCCCCTTTTCTCTGAACATCTTATCTGCATCTTCTCTCTTTCTCTCTCTCAGTCAATGATACTGAAAACTCACTCAAGAATATGGTTTTAATGTGAATCTGATCATCTTTAAGGATTGTTTAGAATCATTTTGATGGTCTCAGGGTGACTGGTAATAATGTCTCATTTCCAAAGTAATAAAAGAAAAGGTAATAAGGTTTTTAAGAAGTTTAGGAATCACAGTCACACAAAGGAGTGTGGTCTTTGAGTTAACACCTTCTGCCTTGTTGTCTGAATACAATTTACAACCAAGCAAATGGTCTGCCCCCGATAAACATGGTAGGGGGATTCAGTAACTTTCCATTGAAACCTGGTGATTAACATATCAGGTAAGGTCTGGCTATTTAAGGGGTGCAGCGGGAGAGCTCGGGGCTGCCTTTCTGTATTCAGATCAGCCCGTGATGTTGTGTCTCTTCGAGGCTCAGCTCATGTAGCCTATGTTGGGTAAAGTTCCTTTGTCCTAAAACAATTGATGGTTTGCTCTGATTATCTTGTGGAACCGTAATAATACATTTACCTGACATAATAAATTGTTATACTTGACCATTCTAACAGACTTTGACTTTATTTTCATTAGAGTTAAAAGGAATAGTCAAACATTAACATATTTAATGAGGCACAGATATCATTGATAAACCCTTTTCATTTTATGGAGTCAGATGAAACGAGTTAATACATAAGATTATATGTATTGCATTTAACTAAAAAACACTTTGCTTGGAAAAGACGGAACGCGCTTGAAACCTTCACCACGAATCGAACTCCGCGATTTGGATCGATTTCGTGGCCCTTTTTACACTATGAAGGTCTTGTTTGTGTTTCTTCTGCTGCTGATGATCCGTAGTTTATATTTTCCAGCATGTTCAGACTGCTCGTCCGACTGTTACTGTACTTCATTTTATTTTGATTCTAAATTGTTTTATTTACTGTATTTTATTTTATAAATTTTTTTATTCTAAACTGTTTTAATTACTCTGATTTCTTTAGATTATTTTAATTTCTTCCATGTAAAGCACTTTAAATTACCACTGTGTATGAAATATGCTATATAAATAAACTTGCCTTGCCTTATGAACCTGTTCTGTCTCCATATTCAGAGCTGAAGATGCTAGATCATGACAATAAACATGGGCTACTAATTATAAAAAATTTAAAAATGCAAAATTATGTGAGGGTTATGTTTAGGGGACAAAAAAAAATTACGCCAATGTAAAGTCCTCATAATAATAGTGCCACCACTGTGTGTGTGTGTGTGTGTGTGTGTGTGTGTGTGTGTGTGTGTACAGTATACGAGTCAAAAGTATAAACTGTCAGTGACATGCAAATAAAAACATGTAACTCTAATAACTTTAATATTTAAGAACAAGTTTTAACCTGAATAAAATATTCTCTGCAAATACATAATTTAATATATTTTTTCATGCTTTAGCTTCGATTGGAACTATTTTCATTGATGGAGCAAAAAACACAAAGTGGATCATCTCCTTTCACAAAGACCTCATCTATATTTGAAAAATAAATCGAAAGAACTACTTACCAGAGACAGAAACAACAAATCTCTTGCTTATGTTTCTTCTGCTGCTGATGATCTGTAGTTTATATTCTCCAGTGAGTTCAGTTGTCATGTCTGTGATGGTCAGAGATCCAGTCTTCTCATCCAGCTTCAGTCTGTCTCTGAATCTCCTACCATCATCAGCATCATCATGTGTTTTTAGAGTCCCTCCTCTGATTTCAGCGATGAGAATGTCTCTAAACCTCCACAGTATCAGATCATCTTTCTGTATTTCAGTTTCAGGGTTTAGGATCCGATTCTTTCCCTCTTCCACTGATATGTTCACTTCATTAGTGACAGCAGCAGATAGAAACAGAGAAACACAGAAATGTTGTCATCAGATCAAGAGTGTGAATGTGAATCACAGCCTGAAACTACTACAGAAATATCATTCAGATGGACATGATTTACAGTCTTCTCACACAGAAAATTCATATTACTGTCTCAGTTCCAGTTTGATGAACACTGATCTGAGAAGTGCTGATCTAAATAAAAGCTGAAGGAAATACTTGTGGACTTGTTTGCAATTTGACAAGCTGTAAAGCTGAAAATAAAGAGATTCAGATGAATATCCTTTCATGTTATGACCCTGTTCTGTCTCCATATTCTGAGCTGAAGATGCTAGATCACGACAATAGACATGGGCTACTAATTATGAAAATGAAAAAATTATAATTATTAAAATAATAATAATTATGTGAGGGTTATGTTTTGGGGACAGAAAAAAACATTAAGCCAAATGTAAAGTCCTCATAATAATAGTGCCACCACCGTGTGTGTGTGTGTGTGTGTGTGTGTGTGTGTGTGTACAGTATACGAGTCAAAAGTATAAACTGTCAGTGACATGCAAATAAAAACATGTAACTCTAATAACTTTAATATTTAAGAACAAGTTAACCCAAATACAATATTCTCTGCAAATACATTATTCAGTATATTTTTTCATGCTACCTTTACCTTTTTATTATTTATTAATATTGTATATATATATATATATATTGGTACACTGTTTATGATTTGCATGTTAAAACAGCTGTTAGGAAGCAAAATAAGAGTTTCTCCTCTAGAGGACATATACGATCATGTATATGATGTATCATGTATACGAGACATGTATATATCTAACATGAACACGTATTCCTCAAGCAGATGCTTTTATCAAAATTAATAAAACACACAACACAATGTGGTTATAGTTTAAGTTCTAGGATTGAACAAAGGCGTTTTCCCATCTTTTTTTGCTATAAACGCCACAAGAGTAATACTTCTTTTTCTTCTTCTTACATGTACAACAAGAGTAATTTTTAAGTGCTTCAGCATAAATACAAATAAATTCAGATCATATTTAAAATCTGACATTCACATCTGCTTGAAAGATGAACACTTCAGATCAGATCCTTATTGAAGCATAACTACTAAAGCAAAGTAAGACACAATGCAAATAGTATGTAAAAAAAAGTCAGTAAGTAATTTAAGTAACTTAAGTAATTGTATTCTGTTTTTTGTTTTTTTTTTAATAATAAAAGTGTAACAAAGGTCATGTGATCTCAGTGATCAATGCTGAACATCCACATTAATTGGGCACTGGTGTTATTTACATAAAACTGAAAATTCACTGGTTATAGAAATACTGCTGTGGTAAAACAAATTATAAAAAGCATAATTACTTGAACTTGCTGTCTGCAATTGCACAAAATCAAAGCTGTCAGATAAGTATTATGTAAATAGAGTAACAGATCAGGTCAGATGAAACCAGCTGTTGCTCATTCAATTCAAAATTTGAGTGAACCAAGATGCAAGATGCGTCTTGTAGTGTCATGTTCTTTCTTTTCATATTGTTCTCAAGAAACTGAATTTAAGATCTAAAGAAAAGCTAAGGGAAGAAGTTGTGAATGCTTTGTTGAGAAACTCTACACTAGAGGAACAAAACGGCTAAATCTATGATTTCTTATCGTGATGTTTGTGGTCTCTCTCATTTTAAAGGTCTTTCAGTGAGTCTCCAGCCTAACATCCACATTCTACCATCAAATTTACATTAGAAACACAATGCACAAACTCATTTAAGAAATACATTGCCAGTAGCATATTTAGTGAATGTTCTATATAAATATAAGTTAAAATCTTGGAAATATGAACAGAGTGTAAAATGGTGCCACAACACACACATCAGATCATGATCTTCAGTTAAAGATCTTCAACACAACAGAATCTCACCTGAATCCGAAGAGTGGTTATCTTCTCCTGTTTAAATGACAATCACAGAATTATTAGACAATGACATTTTTTACATTCATTAGACATTGTGATTACAAAAAAACAAGGTCATATATAATCAGATCTCAGGTCAGCTGTGAAACGAGCTGTTGCTCATTGAATTTAAAACATGCGTGAACCAATGAACACTGACATCAAGCCTGGCAAGATGAGTCTTGTAGTGTTATGTTCTTTCTTTTCATATTTTACTCAAGAAACTGAATTTATGATCTAAATAAAAGCTGAAGGAAGAACTTGTGAATGTCCCTCGTTGAGAAACTCTACACTAGAGGAACAAAACGGCCAAATCTATGATTTCTTATCGTGATGTTTGTGGTCTCTCTCAGTTTAAAGGTCTTTCAGTGAGTCTCCAGCCTAACATCCACATTCTACCATCAAATTTACATCAGAAATACAATGCACAAACTCATTTAACTCATACATTGTCAGTAGCATATTTAGTGAATGTTCTATATAAATATAAGTTAAAATCTTGGAAATATGAACAGAGTGTAAAATGGTGCCACAACACACACATCAGATCATGATCTTCAGTTAAAGATCTTCAACACAACAGAATCTCACCTGGTTCCGAAGAGTGGTTATCTTCTCCTGTTTAAATGACAATCACAGAATTATTAGACAATTACATTTTTTACATTCATCAGACATTGTGATTACAAAAAAACAAGGTCATATATAATCAGATCTCAGGTCAGCTGTGAAACGAGCTGTTGCTCATTGAATTTAAAACATGCGTGAACCAATGAACACTGACATCAAGCCTGGCAAGATGCGTCTTGTAGTGTTATGTTCTTTCTTTTCATATTTTACTCAAGAAACTGAATTTATGATCTAAATAAAAGCTGAAGGAAGAACTTGTGAATGTCCCTCGTTGAGAAACTCTACACTAGAGGAACAAAACGGCCAAATCTATGATTTCTTATCGTGATGTTTGTGGTCTCTCTCAGTTTAAAGGTCTTTTAGTGAGTCTCCAGCCTAACATCCACATTCTACCATCATATTTACATTAGAAACACAATGCACAAACTCATTTAACTCAAACATTGTCAGTAGCATATTTAGTGAATGTTCTATATAAATATAAGTTAAAATCTTGGAAATATGAACAGAGTGTAAAATGGTGCCACAACACACACATCAGATCATGATCTTCAGTTAAAGATCTTCAACACAACAGAATCTCACCTGAATCCGAAGAGTGGTTATCTTCTCCTGTTTAAATGACAATCACAGAATTATTAGACAATTACATTTTTTACATTCATCAGACATTGTGATTACAAAAAAACAAGGTCATATATAATCAGATCTCAGGTCAGCTGTGAAACGAGCTGTTGCTCATTGAATTTAAAACATGCGCGAACCAATGAACACTGACATCAAGCCTGGCAAGATGCGTCTTGTAGTGTTATGGTCTTTTTTTCATATTTTTCTCAAGAAACTGAATTTATGATCTAAATAAAAGCTGAAGGAAGAACTTGTGAATGTCCCTCGTTGAGAAACTCTACACTAGAGGAACAAAACGGCTAAAACTATGATTTCTTATCCTCATGTTTGTGGTCTCTCTCAGTTTAAAGGTCTTTCAGTGAGTCTCCAGCCTAACATCCACATTCTAACATCATATTTACATTAGAAACACAATGCAAAAACTCATTTAACTCATACATTGTCAGTAGCATATTTAGTGAATGTTCTATATAAATATAAGTTAAAATCTTGGAAATATGAACAGAGTGTAAAATGGTGCCACAACACACACATCAGATCATGATCTTCAGTTAAAGATCTTCAACACAACAGAATCTCACCTGATCTCGGCTGATTCAGTGGAGAATAATCAGAATCATATTCTGTTTAAACAACAATTACAGAATTTTTAGAGTTAAAATCTTGGCAATATGAACAGAGTGTAAAATGGTGCCACATCACACACATCAGATCATGATCTTCAGTTAAAGATCTTCAACACAACAGAATCTCACCTGCTTCCGAATAGAAGTTATCTTCTCCTGTTTAAATGACAATCACAGAATAATTAGACAATTACATTTTTTACATTCATCAGACATTGTGATTACAAAAAAACAAGGTCATATATAATCAGATCTCAGGTCAGCTGTGAAAAAAAGCTGTTGCTCATTGAATTTAAAACATGCGTGAACCAATGAACACTGACATCAAGCCTGGCAAGATGCGTCTTGTAGTGTTATGTTCTTTCTTTTCATATTGTTCTCAAGAAACTGAATTTATGATCTAAATAAAAGCTGAAGGAAGAACTTGTGAACGTCCCTCGTTGAGAAACTCTACACTAGAGGAACAAAACGGCTAAATCTATGATTTCTTATCGTGATGTTTGTGGTCTCTCTCATTTTAAAGGTCTTTCAGTGAGTCTCCAGCCTAACATCCACATTCTACCATCAAATTTACATCAGAAATACAATGCACAAACTCATTTAAGAAATACATTGTCAGTAGCATATTTAGTGAATGTTCTATATAAATATAAGTTAAAATCTTGGAAATATGAACAGAGTGTAAAATGGTGCCACAACACACACATCAGATCATGATCTTCAGTTAAACATCTTCAACACAACAGAATCTCACCTGCTTCACCTGCCGGAAAGGTTTCAAGTAATCCTGTTTAAATGACAATCACAGAATTATTAGACAATTACATTTTTTACATTCATCAGACATTGTGATTACAAAAAAAACAAGGTCATATATAATCAGATCTCAGGTCAGCTGTGAAACGAGCTGTTGCTCATTGAATTTAAAACATGCGTGAACCAATGAACACTGACATCAAGCCTGTCAAGATGAGTCTTGTAGTGTTATGTTCTTTCTTTTCATATTGTTCTCAAGAAACTGAATTTATGATCTAAATAAAAGCTGAAGGAAGAACTTGTGAATGTCCCTCGTTGAGAAACTCTACACTAGAGGAACAAAACGGCTAAATCTATGATTTCTTATCGTGATGTTTGTGGTCTCTCTCAGTTTAAAGGTCTTTCAGTGAATCTCCAGCCTAACATCCACATTCTACCATCAAATTTACATTAGAAACACAATGCACAAACTCATTCATTGCCAGTAGTATATTTAGTGAATGTTCTATATAAATATAAGTTAAAATCTTGGAAATATGAACAGAGTGTAAAATGGTGCCACATCACACACATCAGATCATGATCTTCAGTTAAACATCTTCAACACAACAGAATCTCACCTGCTTCACCTGCCGGAAAGGTTTCATGTAATCCTGTTTAAATGACAATCACAGAATTATTAGACAATTACATTTTTTACATTCATCAGACATTGTGATTACAAAAAAACAAGGTCATATATAATCAGATCTCAGGTCAGCTGTGAAACGAGCTGTTGCTCATTGAATTTAAAACATGCGTGAACCAATGAACACTGACATCAAGCCTGGCAAGATGCGTCTTGTAGTGTTATGTTCTTTCTTTTCATATTTTACTCAAGAAACTGAATTTATGATCTAAATAAAAGCTGAAGGAAGAACTTGTGAATGTCCCTCGTTGAGAAACTCTACACTAGAGGAACAAAACGGCTAAATCTATGATTTCTTATCGTGATGTTTGTGGTCTCTCTCATTTTAAAGCTCTTTTAGTGAGTCTCCAGCCTAACATCCACATTCTACCATCAAATTTACATCAGAAATACAATGCACAAACTCATTTAACTCATACATTGTCAGTAGCATATTTAGTGAATGTTCTATATAAATTTAAATCTTGGAAATATGAACAGAGTGTAAAATGGTGCCACAACACACACACACACACACACATCAGATCATGATCTTCAACGAAGGTCTTGTTTGTGTTTCCTCTGCTGCTGATGATCCGTAGCTTATATTCTCCAGCATGTTCAGACTGCTCATTCTACATTGGTTTATTTACTGTATGTTATTTTTTATATATTTTTTTATTCTAAACTGTTTTAATCACTCTGATTTCTTTAGATTATTTTAATTACTTCCATGTAAAGCACTTTGAATTACCATTGTGTATGAACTGTGCTATATAAATAAACTTCCCTTGCCTAAATTTGACAAGCAGTAAAGCTGAAAATAAAGAGATTCAGATGAATATCCTTTCATGTTATGATCCTGTTCTGTCTCCATATTCAGAGCTGAAGATGCTAGATCACGACAATAGACATGGGCTACTAATTATAAAAAATAAAAAATGCAAAAAAAATTATGTCGGGGTTATGTTTAGGGGACAGAAAAACATTAAGCCAATGGAAAGTCCTCATTATAATAGTGCCACCACTGTGTGTGTGTGTGTGTGTGTGTGTGTACAGTATACGAGTCAAAAGTATAAACTGTCAGTGACATGCAAATAAAAACATGTAACTCTAATAACTTTAATATTTAAGAACAAGTTTTAACCTGAATAAAATATTCTCTGCAAATACATCATTTAATATATTTTTTCATGCTTTAGCTTCGATTGGAACTATTTTCATTGATAGAGCAAAAAACACAAAGTGGATCATCTCCTTTCACAAAGACCTCATCTATATTTGAAAAATAAATCGAAAGAACTACTTACCAGAGACAGAAACAATAAATATCTTGCTTGTGGTTTCTCTGCTGCTGATGATCTGTAGTTTATATTTTCCAGTGTGTTTAGTTATCATGTCTGTGATGATCAGAGACCCAGTCTTCTTATCCAGCTTCAGTCTGCCTCTGAATATCCCATCATCAGCATCATCATGTGTTTTTAGAGTCCCTCCTCTGATTTCAGCGATGAGAATGTCTCCAAACCTCCACAGTATCAGATCATCTTTCTGTATTTCAGTTCCAGGGTTTATGATCAGATTCTTTCCCTCTTTCACTGATATGTTCTCTTCATTAGTGACAGCAGCAGATAGAAACAGAGAAACACAGAAATGTTGCCATCAGATCAAGAGTGTGAATGTGAATCACAGCCTGAAACTACTACAGAAATATCATTCAGATGGACATGATTTACAGTCTTCTCACACAGAAAATTCATATTACTGTCTCAGTTCCAGTTTGATGAACACTGATCTGAGAAGTGCTGATCTAAATAAAAGCTGAAGGAAATACTTGTGGACTTGTTTGCAATTTGACAAGCTGTAAAGCTGAAAATAAAGAGATTCAGATGAAAAAAAGAGATTCAGTAAAAAAAACAAAAACAAAACAAAACACGTAATAATTTATTTATATGACCACTGATTGAAGCTTTAAAAAGTTTTTTCCAATAAATAAATAAATAATGATTAAAGTGACCGTGTTTAATATGTACATGTATTTTGTCAGAATGAGAATAAAACACTTATTTAGCTGGAATATTGAAAAACAAACAAATACCCTGCAAGGTTGCAATCATAACAAATAATTTGTATTACATTTACGTATAAATAGCTAAATCTATGGGTGAATAAATCTTTAAGAAAATGAAAAATAAATAAACTGTTCCTGGTATTTATGAGGAAAAAACGAAGTTACAGACGTGACAGTTCTCCTTTACTGACGCGAGCGCTCTGAAGTGACACTTAAGACTGCATTAAAACTTTCACAGACCTCAAACAGAAAAGGGCAAAGCCTTCTTTAAAGTGAATTTCGTTTTATATTAATTTTATCTTGATTTTAATCAATGTTTCATCAACCAATTGCCTGGATTTAATAAATAAGAAGTAAAAGCAGACAATTATAGATATTCACGACACGTAATAGGCACCGGCGCATGAATTGGAGCGCATCTCATAAATATACCAAAACTCACCATAAGTAGCCTACTCCACAGACTTAAACATGAGCTACTTAAATTACATATTTCATTGCAGGACAGGGTCAGGTAACAATGCTAGACCAATCAACAAACTTTAAATGAAAAATTACATGACTGACATATTATTGAAAAAAAAAAAAATCAAAAGTAAACGGGCGGGGCCCCCTATTGGGCGGGACCCATGGGCTTGAGCCCAGTCAAGCCCAATGGTAAGTCCGGCCTTATCACAAGATTCAAATCAGAATTTATTTTTTGACATGTGCACACTGCACGAATATGCCACTGTTCACGCATAACTATTCTCCTCTAATGGTTCTGTATTTGTTTTAAACAACAGACTTATTATTTATCCGTCTCTGGTCATGATTTGAAGACGACGAGCATGAACCGTTTTGCCGTTTATCACGCAGTAAAACCCCGCGCCCAAAAGTCGTGTATGGATGAGAATCTAAAACAAGCACTGGTGGGACGTTGTCCTGCTTCACTTCACAGACATGGAGTGAAATGAGATTTTTTTTTTAAAGAAAGGAACACAAATTTATATGACACTTTATTCAACAGGAAGAACAGCTCGTTCCCTGCGTCATTCGTCATTACGCTATTGCAACGTTATTGCACATGTGCAGTCCTTTAAGTTTCGGTTTTCAATCCGATCAAGTGTTTACATGTTCTCTCGATCGGATTACAATAGGAGTAAACTCCCCTTTCAATCCGATCGAAATTCCAGTCGGATCGAGCTCAATCGGATCGATTAAGGTGTTTACATGAACGTTTTTTAGTTCGATTGAGCCGTCAATCCAATTATAAGGGTCCATGTAAACGCAGATAATGATAGTGCCACCACCGTGTGTTTGTGTGTGTGTGTGTGTGTGTGTGTGTGTGTGTGTACGTACAGTATACGAGTCAAAAGTATAAACTGTCAGTGACATGCAAATAAAAACATGTAACTCTAATAACTTTAATATTTAAGAACAAGTTTTAACCTGAATAAAATATTCTCTGCAAATACATTATTTAATATATTTTTTCATGCTTTAGCTTCGATTGGAACTATTTTCATTGATCGAGCAAAAAACACAAAGTGGATCATCTCCTTTCACAAAGACCTCATCTATATTTGAAAAATAAATCGAAAGAACTACTTACCAGAGACAAAAACATAAAATCTCTTGTTTGTGATTCCTCTGCTGCTGATGATCTGTAGTTTATATTTTCCAGTGAGTTCAGTTATCATGTGTGTGATGGTCAGAGATCCAGTCTTCTCATCCAGCTTCAGTCTGCCTCTGAATCTCCCACCAGCAGCATCATCATCATGTGTTTTTAGAGTCCCTCCTCTGATTTCAGCGATGAGAATGTCTCCAAACCTCCACAGTATCAGATCATCTTTCTGTATTTCAGTTTCAGGGTTTATGTTTAGATTCTTTCCCTCTTCCACTGATATGATCCTCTCTTCATTAGTGACAGCAGCAGATAGAAACAGAGAAACACAGAAATGTTGTCATCAGATCAAGAGTGTGAATGTGAATCACAGCCTGAAACTACTACAGAAATATCATTCAGATGGACATGATTTACAGTCTTCTCACACAGAAAATTCATATTACTGTCTCAGTTCCAGTTTGATGAACACTGATCTGAGAACTGCTGATCTAAATAAAAGCTGAAGGAAATACTTGTGGACTTGTTTGCAATTTGACAAGCTGTAAAGCTGAAAATAAAGAGATTCAGATGAATATCCTTTCATGTTATGATCCTGTTCTGTCTCCATATTCTGAGCTGAAGATGCTAGATCATGACAATAGACATGGGCTACTAATTATGAAAAATTAAAAAAAAAGCAAAAAAAAGTATGTGAGGGTTATGTTTAGGGGACAGAAAAAACATTAAGCCAATGGAAAGTCCTCATAATATTAGTACCACCACCGTGTGTGTGTGTGTGTGTGTGTGTGTGTACAGTATACGAGTCAAAAGTATAAACTGTCAGTGACATGCAAATAAAAACATATGATATAACTCTAATAACTTTAATATTTAAGAACAAGTTTTAAACTAAATACAATATTCTCTGCAAATACATCATTTAATATATTTTTTCATGCTTTAGCTTCGATTGGAACTATTTTCATTGATCGAGCAAAAAAACACAAAGTGGATCATCTCCTTTCACAAACACCTCATCTATATTTGAAAAATAAATCGAAAGAACTACTTACCAAAGACAGAAACATAAAATCTCTTGTTTGTGTTTCCTCTGCTGCTGATGATCTGTAGTTTATAATCTCCAGTGTGTTTAGTTGTCATGTCTGTGATGATCAGAGATCCAGTCTTCTCATCCAGCTTCAGTCTGCCTCTGAATCTCCCATCAGCATCATCATGTGTTTTTAGAGTCCCTCCTCTGATTTCAGCGATGAGAATGTCTCTAAACCTCCACAGTATCAGATCATCTTTCTGTATTTCAGTTTCAGGGTTTATGATCAGATTCTTTCCCTCTTCCACTGATATCACCCTCTCTTCATTAGTGACAGCAGCAGATAGAAACAGAGAAACACAGAAATGTTGTCATCAGATCAAGAGTGTGAATGTGAATCACAGCCTGAAACTACTACAGAAATATCATTCAGATGGACATGATTTACAGTCTTCTCACACAGAAAATTCATATTACTGTCTCAGTTCCAGTTTGATGAACACTGATCTGAGAACTGCTGATCTAAATAAAAGCTGAAGGAAATACTTGTGGACTTGTTTGCAATTTGACAAGCTGTAAAGCTGAAAATAAAGAGATTCAGATGAATATCCTTTCATGTTATGAAGGCTATATCGTTAAAACCAAGCATATCTGCTGACTCTGTTGATTTTCTCCTTGATTCTTTTAACTTAAAAGTTAAGAGTGTAATTGATGATATTGCTCCTGTGAAAGTCAGGATGAATAGTGGCAGACAAAAATCACCTTGGAGAAACTCAACAGCTGTGCAAAATATGAAAAGACAATGCAGAAGAGCAGAGCGCTTGTGGCAGAAGACAAAACTTGTAGTCCATTATAACATCTACAAAGACAGCATCCATGCTTTCAATATGGAATTAGGCAAAGCTAGACAGACTTTCTTCTCAAATATTATAAACAGCAATATAAACAACACACGCACTCTTTTTGCTACTGTAGAGAGACTGACAACCCCCCGAGCCAGATTCCCATAGAAATGCTCTCAGAAAGGAAATGCAGTGAGTTTGTTTCTTTCTTCTCTGAGAAAATCAATAACATCAGAAAGGTGATCAGCACATCCTTGAGTTGCTCTGGGGTCAGGCAGACCAGACCACAACCTGAGAAAGTAGTTACTATGTCTGTTTTTGAAGAAATTGATGGCACAATTTTGGTAGAAACCGTACAGCACCTTAAAACAATCAACCTGCGCCCTTGACACACTTCCCACATCTTTTTTCAAAAATTTGTTAGACAGCTTAGAAGCAGATCTCCTAGAAGTGGTAAATGCCTCACTTCGCTCTGGGATTTTTCCTAACTCCCTGAAAACTGCAGTTGTCAAGCCCCTCCTGAAAAAGAGCAATCTGGATAAGACCATCTTAAGCAATTATAGATCGATCTCAAATCTTCCTTTCATAGGCAAGATCATTGAAAAGGTTATCTTCAATCAGCTGAACACATTCTTAAGCTTGAATGGATACTTTGACAATTTTCAATCTGGTTTCCGATCGCATCACAGCACGGAGACAGCGCTCATAAAGATAATAAACGATATTCGCTTAAATACTGATACAGGCAAATTATCCGTGTTGGTACTACTCGACCTCAGTGCTGCATTTGACACTGTTGATCATGACATACTTCTTGACAGGCTGGGAAACTGGGTGGGGCTTTCTGGGATAGTCCTAAAATGGTTCAGGTCATACTTAGAAGGGAGAGGTTATTTTGTGAGTATGGGAGATCATAAGTCTGAGTGGACATCCATGACTTGCGGAGTCCCTCAGGGCTCGATTCTTGCGCCACTCCTATTCAACCTGTATATGCTCCCAATGAGCCAAATAATGAGAAAGAACCAAATCGCTTACCACAGCTATGCAGACGACACACAGCTCTACTTAGCCCTATCGCCTAACGACTACAGCCCCATTGACTCCCTGTGCCAATGCATTGATGAAGTAAATAGTTGGATGTGTCAAAACTTTCTGCAGTTAAACAAAGACAAAACTGAAGTCATTGCGTTTGGAAACAAAGATGAAGTTCTCAAGGTGAATGCATACCTCGACACTAGGGGTCTAACAACTAAAAATCAAGTCAGGAATCTTGGTGTGTCTCTAGAGTCAGACCTTAGTTTCAATAGTCATGTCAAAGCAATAACTAAATCAGCATACTATCATCTGAAAAATATTTCAAGAATTAGATGCTTTGTTTCCAGTCAAGACTTAGAGAAACTTGTGCATGCTTTCATCACCAGCAGGGTGGATTACTGTAATGGCCTCCTCACTGGCCTTCCTAAAAAGACCATAAGACAGTTGCAGCTCATACAGAACGCTGCTGCCAGGATTCTGAGCAGGACCAGAAAATATGAACACATCACACCAGTCCTCAGGTCTTTACACTGGCTCCCAGTTACATTTAGGATTGATTTTAAAGTTTTATTACTGGTATATAAATCATTCAATGGGTTAGGACCTCAATATATTGCAGATATGCTCACTGAATATAAACCCAACAGATCACTCAGATCATTAGGATCACATCAGCTAGAAATACCAAGGGTTCACTCTAAGCATGGAGAGTCTGCTTTTAGCTATTATGCTGGAACCAGCTTCCAGAAGAGATCAGGTGTGCTCCTACATTAGTCACATTCAAATCAAGACTCAAAAAACACTTCTGTTTAGCTGTGCATTTACTGAATGAGCACTGTGCCACTGTTCGTCCGACTGTTACTGTACTTCATTTTATTTTTTATTCTAAACTGTTTTAATTATTCTGATTCCTTTTGATTATTTTAATTTCTTCCATGTAAAGCACTTTGAATTGCCATTGTGTATGAAATGTGCTATACCAATAAACTTGCCTTGCCTTGCCTTATGACTAGGGATGGGTATCGTTAAGGTTTTATCGGTATTACTACTCTTACCGATACCGCTTATCAATCCGGTACTTTAACAGTATTCTTATCGGTTCTTTTTGGTGTTTTTTTTTTTTTTAAGAATTAAGAACATAATTAAACTCTATATTTTGAAATGTAAAATAGAAAAAGCAAAACAAAGAAAAATATATTTTTGTTATGCAGCAATGTGCAGGCTTTTTTGTTTTATATACAAAAAGGACACATAAGAAAAAAAAACAAGTACAAACATAAGAATAAAATCAATCAAAGATACAAATTATATACAAAAGTGCTTTAATTTCAGGAAGGTGTACTAACATATCTTTTCAGGTAATTGTTTCTGTCTGAAAAGAAACCTAATTTAGTAATCAAATATAAAATAGCACTGTATAGTTTATCATAGATAGATTAATGCTTATTAAATCTAAAGTTACTTATTCAAAAGCTGTGAGTGATTTTCTCTGCCTTTTGTTGTTTGATTTGCATTAATGGCTGAATCGTCAGCAGGTTTAGGCTATTAGACTGCTGCCCATTTAAGACCGAGAGCAAATCTAATCGGTAACCGGTAACTGAAGCACCATCAATTTCTCCCTATTATTTACGTCCATTTAAGACATAATTGTGTTTAAGTGAATAAACTGTGTTTAAGTGAATCTCAGAGCTGGTCATTTTGACATTTGTATGTATATTTGATAGTTAAGGAGGACACACGAAGCCCAAAGTATAGCCTACTTTTCTTGTCTCGTTGCAGTCCGTTTCGGAGCGCGCACCGCCTTGTGAACAGGCTCTTGCGCAGGCTTTTGTGTTTTTAATAGCCATTTTTTGATCTTGCAACAGTAGAAGACAGCATTTTGCAACAATCGCCGATCGTGCTGATTCTGACGGTACGTTTGGGTTTTAGGAAGAACTGACAGCGCTCCGCAGTGCTGTGAAGTATAAAGGAAGTTAAGCTGGACAGATCATGCGTCTTGTTTTTTAACGGTTTTATCTCAAATATCTTCTTTTTATAATCTTTGGAAGCCGAAATACAAAATATATTAGAATAATATCCCACATCTAAAGTGTAACCACGTTGAATGTTTAGTTCTGTCCTCATTGTCACTCATTAAGCAGGGCTGTCGTGTTGCGCGTGCTGTGGCTTTGCGTGAGAGATCGCTCTCTCTCTCTCTCTTCTCTCTCTCTCTCTCTCTGCTGAACTGCGAATTTCAAATTTGCATCACAGACAAATGGTTTAATTAAAATATAGTTTATATATAGAAAAGGCTGGCGATATAAACATGTTCAAGATAACGTCTTTATAGGAATGATAAATAATTTCTCCAGTACCGACAGCAGAACCGATAACGTCCGACCTTATCGATACAGCGGTCTTTCAAAATTCAGCACCGGGGCCCGTTTAATACCGGGTTTCGGTACCCATCCCTACTTATGACCCTGTTCTGTCTCCATATTCGGAGCTGAAGATGCTAGATCATGACAATAGACATGGGCTACTAATTATGAAAAATTAAAAAAAAAGCAAAAAAAAGTATGTGAGGGTTATGTTTAGGGGACAGAAAAAACATTAAGCCAATGGAAAGTCCTCATAATATTAGTACCACCACCGTGTGTGTGTGTGTGTGTGTGTGTGTGTACAGTATACGAGTCAAAAGTATAAACTGTCAGTGACATGCAAATAAAAACATGTAACTCTAATAACTTTAATATTTAAGAACAAGTTTTAACCTGAATAAAATATTCTCTGCAAATACATAATTTAACATATTTTTTCATGCTTTAGCTTCGATTGGAACTATTTTCATTGATCGAGCAAAAAACACAAAGTGGATCATCTCCTTTCACAAAGACCTCATCTATATTTGAACAATAAATCGAAAGAACTACTTACCAGAGACAGAAACAAAAAATCTCTTGCTTGTGATTTCTCTGCTGCTGATGATCTGTAGTTTATAATCTCCAGTGTGTTTAGTTGTGATGTCTGTGATGGTCAGAGATCCAGTCTTCTCATCCAGCTTCAGTCTGTCTCTGAATCTCCCATAAGCAGCATCATCATGTGTTTTTAGAGTCCCTCCACTGATTTCAGCGATGAGAATGTCTTGATCTCCAAACCTCCACTGTATCTGATCATCTTTCTGTATTTCAGTTTCAGGGTTTATGATCAGATTCTTTCCCTCTTCCACTGATATGTACCTCGCTTCATTAGTGACAGCAGCAGATAGAAACAGAGAAACACAGAAATGTTTCCATCAGATCAAGAGTGTGAATGTGAATCACAGCCTGAAACTACTACAGAAATATCATTCAGATGGACATGATTTACAGTCTTCTCACACAGAAAATTCATATTACTGTCTCAGTTCCAGTTTGATGAACACTGATCTGAGAAGTGCTGATCTAAATAAAAGCTGAAGGAAATACTTGTGGACTTGTTTAAAATTTGACAAGCTGTAAAGCTGAAAATAAAGAGATTCAGATGAATATCCTTTCATGTCATGATCCTGTTCTGTCTCCATATTCAGAGCTGAAGATGCTAGATCACGACAATAGACATGGGCTACTAATTCTAAAAAATTAAAAATGCAAAACAAAAAATTATGTCGGGGTTATGTTTAGGGGACAGAAAAAACATTACGCCAATGGAAAGTCCTCAGTCTACGTTTATATGGACACAATCGGAATGAAATCAATACGGTTGATGAATCCGAACAAGGTGTTTACATGAATGATAAATAAAGTGATCGGGTTGATGTGCGCCTTTATATATGTCACAAGCAGGGCAGGACTTAGGGTGGTGGGGGCCCTGGGCTTGAGTCACTTTCGGGACCTTCTATACATTACTTTAAATAGAACTAAATGATACATACACAAGCTAGGCCTATGTATTAGAGCTGCACAATTCTGGATAATTTGAGAATAAAAATAAAGATCACGATTCTGCACAAACAACTTAACAAAATAATATAATTTATGTTAATTGCTGAAGTCTAATAAAAATGTTGGTAACACTTTAGAATACTGTCTCTTACTTACTGCAGAATTAATAAGGAATTATTGACAAACTAATAGGTAATTCTTCATTAACTACTTCTTCACTACTGTTAACTACTAAGGAAGATGTATTAACTAATCAGTATGTAATATAATTTTATGATTGTGTTAAGTATCAGTTAGTTAATCAATAACTAATGAATTCTGTCATACCTCCTGAAGAACTACTACTAATTATCTACTAATTAAAGTTCAAGAAAAATAACTAAGAAGTAACTACTGAACAGTCATACAAAAACTAACCTCAGATTATTTGTATATTTTATATACAGTACTGTGTGTGTCTGTTTTCCTCAGCATAGAATGCCACTGAGTAAATTCATGTATTTGAGGCAACGACTGAGGGAAACTGAAAATATAGGGAACTTATTAGTAATTAATAAAGAATTATCAAATAATTATAATTAAGCTACTTATAATCTGAAACGGTCTTGTAAAGTGAAAATATAAGGAACTTATTAGTAATTAATACATAACTTTTAAATAGTTCTTCAGGAATTACTTAGAACCTGGAACAGTATTCTAAAGTGACAATATAGGGAACCCATTAGTAATTAATAAATAATTAGCAAATAATTATCTAGGAATTAGGCAACTTAAAACCTGAAACAGTCTTCTAAAGTAAAAATATAAGGAACTTATTAGTAATTAATAAATAATTATTAGATAGTCCTTCAGGAATTACTTAGAACCTGAAACAGTATTCTAAAGTGACAATATAGGGAACCCATTAGTAATTAATAAAGAATTACCACATACTTCTGACTCAAATCAAACTTACTGTAAATATATATATATATATATATATATATATATATATATATATATATAGCCTATATATATTAATGTAATCATCTAAACCTTTGTAAAATACACTACAATTACTTGCGACAAAGGTGAAGAGGGGTGAAAAAGGCAACAGTGGCAAGGAACCAAAACTCCATCAGGTGACAGAATGGAGAAAAAAAACCTTGGGAGAAGCCAGGCTCAGTGTATGTGGCGACCGCAATATTGCCGGAACTTGAATGATGCAAAAGAAGTTTAAAATGTTTAAGAACTAAGTATAATAATAAGGTGTTATATACAGTACATGAGATGTTTTTGCTTATTTGCAGATCATAGCTTATAGGTAAATGTCTGCACTTATTTTTCTTATTAGTGCTGAAGAATGACAAACTGAATACTGTGTATGACTGTTAATTAGTAGTTACTTCATAGTTATTTTTCTTGAACCTTAATTAATAGATAATTAATAGTAGTTCTTCAGGAGGTATGACAGAATTCATTAGCTATTGATTAACTAACTGATACTTAACACAATCATAAAATTATATTACATACTGATTAGTTAACACATCTTCCTTAGTAGTTAACAGTAGTGACTTAAGTGTTAATAAAGAATTACCTATTAGTTCTTCATTAATTCCTTATTAGTTATGCATTAAGTAAGATACAGTATTCTAAAGTGTTGCCAAAATGTTTAATTAATCTGAAGTATATATTAAAAAAAACTTGGGTTTGAATGATTCAATTCCTCAATCAAAAACACTTGTTTCATTTTTGACATCTCTTGAATGAACGATTCAATGAGAAATGTTTTTTTTAAGTCATTTGTCGCCATCTGGTGGCATAAAAATATAGTCGATCCAATCTTTATTTGAACTGTAAAGTTACTTTCAAAAGGTGACTGGTACCATAGACAGAGTTGTAAAAAACAAACAAACAAACAAAAAAAAAAAAAAACACGTAGTAATTTATTTATATGACCACTGATTGAAGCTTTAAAAAGTTTATTTCCAATAAATAAATAAATAATGATTAAAGTGACCATGTGTTAAATATGTACATGTATTTTGTCAGAATGAGAATAAAACACTTATTTAGCTGGAAAACATATTGAAAAACAAACAAATACCCTGCAAGTTGCAATCATAACAAATCATTTGTATTACATTTACGTATAAATAGCTAAATCTATGGGTGTATAAATCTTTAGGAAAATGAAAAATAAATAAACTGTTCCTGGTATTTATGAGGAAAAAACGAAGTTACAGACGTGACAGTTCTCCTTTACTGATGCGAGCGCTCTGAAGTGACACTTAAGACTGCATTAAAACTTTCACAGACCTCAAACAGAAAAGGGCAAAGCCTTCTTTAAAGTGAATTTCGTTTTATATTAATTTTATCTTGATTTTAATCAATGTTTCATCAACCAATTGCCTGGATTTAATAAATAAGAAGTAAAAGCAGACAATTATAGATATTCACGACACGTAATAGGCACCGGCGCATGAACTGGAGCGCATCTCATAAATATACCAAAACTCACCATAAGTAGCCTACTCCACAGACTTAAACATGAGCTACTTAAATTACATATTTCATTGCAGGGCAGGGTCAGGTAACAATGCTAGACCAATCAACAAACTTTTAATGAAAAATTACATGACTGACATATTATTGAAAAACAAAAAAATCTAAAGTAAACGGGCGGGGCTCCCTATTGGGCGGGACCCATGGGCTTGAGCCCAGTCAAGCCCAATGGTAAGTTCAGCCTTGTCACAAGATTCAAATCAGAATAGATTTTTTGACATGTGCACACTGCACGAATATGCCACTGTTCACGCATAACTATTCTCTTCTAATGGTTCTGTATTTGTTTTAAACAACAGACTTATTATTTATCCGTCTCTGGTCATGATTTGGAGACGACGAGTGTGAACCGTTTTGCCGTTTATCAAGCAGTAAAACCCCGCGCCCAAAAGTCGTGTGTGGATGAGAATCTAAAACAAGCACTGGTGGGACGTTGTCCTGCTTCACTTCACAGACATGGAGTGAAATTAGATTTTTTTAAATAACGGAACACAAATTTATATGACACTTTATTCAACAGGAAGAACAGCTCGTTCCCTGCGTCATTCGTCATTACGCCATTAAAACGTCATTGCACATGTGCAGTCCTTTTAGTTTCAGTTTTCAAACCGATCAAGTGTTTACATGTTCTCTCGATCGGATTACAATAGGAGTAAACTCCCCTTTCAATCCGATCGAAATTCCAGTCGGATCGAGCTCAATCGGATCGATTAAGGTGTTTACATGAACGTTTTTTAGTTCGATTGAGCCGTCAATCCAATTATAAGGGTCCATGTAAACGCAGATAATGACAGCGCCACCACCGTGTGTGTGTGTGTGTGTGCGTGTGTGTACAGTATACGAGTCAAAAGTATAAACTGTCAGTGACATGCAAATAAAAACATGTAACTCTAATAACTTTAATATTTAAGAACAAGTTTTAACCTGAATAAAATATTCTCTGCAAATACATAATTTAACATATTTTTTCATGCTTTAGCTTCGATTGGAACTATTTTCATTGATCGAGCAAAAAACACAAAGTGGATCATCTCCTTTCACAAAGACCTCATCTATATTTGAAAAATAAATCGAAAGAACTACTTACCAAAGACAAAAACAACAAATCTCTTGTTTGTGGTTTCTCTGCTGCTGATGATCTGTAGTTTATATTTTCCAGTGTGTTCAGTTGTCATGTCTGTGATGATCAGAGATCCAGTCTTCTCATCCAGCTTCAGTCTGCCTCTGAATCTCCCATCATCATCATCATCATGTGTTTTTAGAGTCCCTCCTCTGATTTCAGCGATGAGAATGTCTTGATATCCAAACCTCAACTGTATCAGATCATCTTTCTGTATTTCAGTTTCAGGGTTTATGATCAGATTCTTTCCCTCTTCCACTGATATATTCCTCTCTTCATTAGTGACAGCAGCAGATAGAAACAGAGAAACACAGAAATGTTGTCATCAGATCAAGAGTGTGAATGTGAATCACAGCCTGAAACTACTACAGAAATATCATTCAGATGGACATGATTTACAGTCTTCTCACACAGAAAATTCATATTACTGTCTCAGTTCCAGTTTGATGAACACTGATCTGAGAAGTGCTGATCTAAATAAAAGCTGAAGGAAATACTTGTGGATGCAGGTCAGCAACAAAATGTTTTAGCTAAATTTGACAAGCTGTAAAGCTAAATAAAATAAAGAGATTCAGATGAATATCCTTTCATGTCATGACCCTGTTCTGTCTCCATATTCTGAGCTGAAGATGCTAGATCACGATAATAGACATGGGCTACTAATTATGAAAAATTAAAAAAAATGCAAAAAAAATTATGTTAGGGTTATGTTTTGGGGACAAAAAAAAAACATTAAGCCAATGGAAAGTCCTCATTATAATAGTGCCACCACTGTGTGTGTGTGTGTGTGTGTGTGTGTACAGTATACGAGTCAAAAGTATAAACTGTCAGTGACATGCAAATATAAACATATAACTCTAATAACTTTAATATTTAAGAACAAGTTTTAACCTGAATACAATATTCTCTGCAAATACATCATTTAATATATTTTTTCATGCTTTAGCTTCGATTGGAACTATTTTCATTGATCGAGCAAAAAACACAAAGTGGATCATCTCCTTTCACAAAGACCTCATCTATATTTGAAAAATAAATCGAAAGAACTACTTACCAGAGACAGAAACAACAAATGTCTTGTTTGTGTTTTCTCTGCTGCTGATGATCTGTAGTTTATATTTTCCAGTGTGTTCAGTTGTGATGTCTGTGATGATCAGAGATCCAGTCTTCTCATCCAGCTTCAGTCTGCCTCTGAATCTCCCATCATCAGCATCATCATGTGTTTTTAGAGTCCCTCCTCTGATTTCAGCGATGAGAATGTCTTGATATCCAAACCTCCACTGTATCTGATCATCTTTCTGTATTTCAGTTTCAGGGTTTATGATCAGATTCTTTCCCTCTTCCACTGATATCTTCCTCTCTTCATTAGTGACAGCAGCAGATAGAAACAGAGAAACACAGAAATGTTGCCATCAGATCAAGAGTGTGAATGTGAATCACAGCCTGAAACTACTACAGAAATATCATTCAGATGGACATGATTTACAGTCTTCTCACACAGAAAATTCATATTACTGTCTCAGTTCCAGTTTGATGAACACTGATCTGAGAAGTGCTGATCGAAATAAAAGCTGAAGGAAATACTTGTGGACTTGTTTGCAATTTGACAAGCTGTAAAGCAGAAAATAAAGAGATTCAGATGAATATCCTCTCATGTTATGATCCTGTTCTGTCTCCATATTCTGAGCTGAAGATGCTAGATCACGACAATAGACATGGGCTACTAATTATGAAAAATTAAAAAAAAAAATGCAAAAAAAATATGTGAGGGTTATGTTTAGGGGACAGAAAAAAAATTAAGCCAATGTAAAGTCCTCATAATGATAGTGCCACCACTGTGTGTGTGTGTGTGTGTGTGTGTGTATACAGTATACGAGTCAAAAGTATAAACTGTCAGTGACATGCAAATATAAACATATAACTCTAATAACTTTAATATTTAAGAACAAGTTTTAACCTGAATACAATATTCTCTGCAAATACATCATTTAATATATTTTTTCATGCTTTAGCTTCGATTGGAACTATTTTCATTGATCGAGCAAAAAACACAAAGTGGATCATCTCCTTTCACAAAGACCTCATCTATATTTGAAAAATAAATCGAAAGAACTACTTACCAGAGACAGAAACAATAAATCTCTTGTTTGTGTTTTCTCCGCTGCTGATGATCTGTAGTTTATATTTTCCAGTGTGTTCAGTTGTGATGTCTGTGATGATCAGAGATCCAGTCTTCTCATCCAGCTTCAGTCTGCCTCTGAATCTCCCATCAGCAGCATCATCATGTGTTTTTAGAGTCCCTCCTCTGATTTCAGCGATGAGAATGTCTTGATATCCAAACCTCCACAGTATCAGATCATCTTTCTGTATTTCAGTTTTAGGGTTTATGATCAGATTCTTTCCCTCTTCCACTGATATGTTCCTCTCTTCATTAGTGACAGCAGCAGATAGAAACAGAGAAACACAGAAATGTTGTCATCAGATCAAGAGTGTGAATGTGAATCACAGCCTGAAACTACTACAGAAATATCATTCAGATGGACATGATTTACAGTCTTCTCACACAGAAAATTCATATTACTGTCTCAGTTCCAGTTTGATGAACACTGATCTGAGAAGTGCTGATCTAAATAAAAGCTGAAGGAAATACAGTGGGGCCAAAAAGTATTTAGTCAGCCACTAATTGTGCAAGTTCTGCTACTTAGAATAATGAGAGAGGTCTGTAATTTTCATCATATGTACACTTCAACTATGAGAGACAAAATGAGGAAAGAAAATCCAGGAAATCACATTGTAGGATTTTTAAAGAATTTATTTGTAAATTATGGTGGAAAATAAGTATTTGGTCACCCACAAACCAGCAATATTTCTGTCTCTCACAGACCTGTAACTTCTTTTTTAAGAAGCTCTTTTGTCCTCCACTCGTTACCTGTATTTTTGGCACCTGTTTGAACCCGTTATCTGTATAAAAGACACTTTTTTATTGCATTTTAATAATAACAAAACATTTTATATACAAGAGTACATATAACCATACATGTCAGGGGTAGAGAAAACAAAAAAAATAAAAAATAAACAAACAAAAAAATAAATAGGCTACTGAAAAGACTTTTTACAAAAAAAAGCTTGTACTTGTCAAACAGCTGTTTAGTTTTCATAGCTTTCAGATTTTTACTTTTGGAAATAGTTTCTAAATATGTCTTAACATCAATTTTAAAATGTTCAAAAATTGGTATTTTTCCATTCCATTTGACCTTATGAATATAGTAACGGGAAATTATATTAAATCAAAAATAAACAAAAAGGTTTTTTTACCCTCAAATGAGAAGCATTTTAACATTACATCAATTTCTTCAAAGTTAACAGGAGTCATAACTTTACTTTGCAAGTAATTACAAAGTTCTTTCCAAAACATTAGGGTCTTGAGACATTCCCAAAATAAATGCTTAATAGTCTCAGGGGTATAAAAGACACTTGTCCACAGCCTCAAACAGTCAAACTCCAAACTCAACCATGGCCAAGACCAAAGAGCTGTCGATGGACACCAGGAAGAAAACTGTAGACCTGCACCAGGCCTGAAGAGTGAATCTACAATAGGCCAGCAGCTTGGAGTGAAAAAATCAACTGTGGGAGCAATTGTAAGAAAATGGAAGACATACAAGACCACTGATAATCTTGCCTTTGATCTGGGGCTCCACGCAAGATCTCATCCCGTGGGGTCAAAATGATCATGAGAACGGTGAGCAAAAATCCCAGAACTACACGGAGGGACCTGATGAATGACCTGCAGAGAGCTGGACCAAAGTAACAAAGGCCACCATAAGTAACACACTACACCGAGAGGGACTCTAATCCTGCAGTGACAGGCATGTCTCCCTGCTCAAGCCAGCACATGTCAAGGCCTTTCTGAAGTTTTCCAGAGAGCATATGGATGATCCAGAAGAGGATTGGGAGAATATCATGTGGTCAGATTAACCCAAAATAGAACTTTTTGGTAAAAACTCAACTCGTTGTGTTTGGAGGAAGAAGAATGCAGAGTTATATCCCAAGAACACCATACATTTACCTACTGTGAAGCATGGGGGAGGAAACGTCATGATTTAAGGCTGTTTTTCTGCAAAGGGGACAGGAAAACTGATCCGTGTTGAGGGAACAATGAACGGGGCCATGTATCGTGAGATTTTGAGCCAAAACCTCCTTCCATCAGTGAGAGCCTTGAAGATGAAACATGGCTGGATCTTCCAGCATGACAATGATCCCAAACACACCGCCCGGGCAACGAAGGAGTGGCTCCGTAAAAAAAGCATTTCAAGGTCCTGGACTGACCTAGCCAGTCTCCAGACCTCAACCCCATAGAAAATTTGTGTTGTCCAGCGACAGCCCCGAAACATCACTGCTCTAGAGGAGATCTGCATGGAGGAATGGGCCGAAATAGCAGCTACAGTGTGTGCAAACCTGGTGAAGACTTACAGGAAACGTTTGACCTCTGTCATTGCCAACAAAGGTTATGTTACAAAGTATTGAGTTGAACTTTTGTTATTGACCAAATACTTATTTTCCACCATCATTTACAAATAAATTCTTTAAAAATCCTACAATGTGATTTCCTGGATTTTTTTTTTTTTTTTCATTTTTTCATGAAAATTACACACCTCTCTCATTATTCTAAGTAGGAGAACTTGCACAATCAGTGGCTGACTAAATACTTTTTGCCCCCACTGTACTTGAATATGCAGGTCAGCAACAAAATGTGTTTTAGCTAAATTTGACAAGCTGTAAAGCTAAATAAAATAGAAAGATTCAGATGAATATCCTTTCATGTTATGTTTCCTGTTCTGTCTCCATATTCTGAGCTGAAGATGCTAGATCACGACACACACACACACACTAGGGTTGGCAACTGTCCTGAATTGGCCGGGACGTCCCGTATTCTGGCCCTAATTTATTTGTCCCGATTAAATAGACTGCTACACTGATCTAAGCACCGATTAATAACAGACACACACACGACACCAGTCATCATCCAATCACAGCCCACACTCATGTAAGGATTTTGGCCAGGCGAATCAAACCCACCCCCAGGGGTTTTCTGAAACACACACACGCACACACAAACCTTTCCCTTCCCCCACACATCGGAATGTGTGGAATGTTTATGAACATAGAGAAGGACTTTTGGTGTTTAAAAACATTCAACAAAATGTTTTCAATGGTTTTTATGTATATGTGTCTTCCCCATGTCCCAGTGAAATAACTTTGTTTGGGCACAGCGTAAATAGAAATTGAAAATACCTTTGTCATGCATTTTAAACATAAGTGTATATTCCTTTGATAACATAATGTTCCTTGATATCTCTAGAATGCTTATTGAATGAAACACTCGAATATGCATAGAGATGTAAAGTAAAGTGTACTTTTAATTCGTTTTACTGCCAATGAAGATCAAATTGTTCACTGTAAAACCCTCATTGAACACACCCCCTTCCACGAGGAGCGCGCGCTGAGGAACAAAGGACAATAAACCAAGAGTTCCCGCGAGCTACAACCATCTCCCCGATTGGCTCAAGCCAACAGGAAAGGGATGGATTCCGCCAAGGGGATAAAGGAGTGCGCAGGCTCCACCTCTTCCCTTCTTCGTCTGACCCCCTCAGAGAAACATGTAATGCTTTAGATCTCCTCACGGAGATCTGATCCGACCATGGATCTTTTCCTTTGTTCGTCTAAAAGTCTCGTCTTTTCTTCAAATGGACTACAAAGTTCGTCTCACAGGAAAGGAAGTGGACTTTGCCGAACTATTTCCTCGGGTAACGTCACCTCAAAGACTTTCAGCCTTTCAAACACTCGCGCTAAGGCTTAATCCAATTAGTTAAAAATCACCTTAGCTTCAATAAAGGTAACATTGTGTATCCGTCTTTACGATTGGGTGGTATTGAATTTTTAGATCGAAAATGTAACAACAGACATATTCGTAAAATTTTTCAAATGAAAAGAAAGATTACCCCTAGGGGTAAATTCTACTGGGGTTCCCTTGTAACAAACGTAAATTGGAAGAAGGCCTGGCTTTTGCCTAGTAAATTTTGTGTGTCCAACAAAGTTAAAGAAATTCATTATAAGATCCTTCATAAGATCTACCCTGTTAACTCTTCTATTGCTAAATATTCTGATATTGATGATACTTGCTCCTTCTGTGGTTTTGTTGAGGAAACAACTGCCCATTTATTTTGTGAATGTAATGTAACCATTAGATTTTGGACTAAATTAAGTTCTTTTGTTTTTAGCCCTACAAATACGACCCACACCTTCACTCTCAAAGAGGTTATTTTTTATTATGAAAATCCAAAGTTGCTTTCCCTTGAGTATGTTAACTTCTTTATCTTGTATGCAAAATTCTTCATCCATAAGCAAAAATGGCTTAAATCTCCTTTGAGCTTTCCTCTTTTTCTTGCTGATTTTGACTCTTTTATTTCGTCCCTTAGACTTATAAATAACAAGAAAAGTGAACAATTTTTGATGTATTTTGATGATTTATTCAAAGACATGACTTGGCATTAAATTATGCTTTTCTTGTTTTATGTTTTACATAATTTGATGTATGCATACCCAGGATGCTTATTTTCTGTTAGGTACTATTGTCTGTTTGTTTGTACACCTTGCCTTACTTCCCTGTGTTGGTTTTTTTTGTATAAGTTCTGCAATAAAAAAAACAAAAACACTCGCGCTAAATGCCGACGAACGCCACGTGACTCCCCACGGAACAAAGCAGCCATGAACGAGCCGGGATGGGCCGCGCAAACACGCCGCGGCCGCGCTTCACGTGACGCACGCGCGCAGGACAGGCGCACCTCCAGTCGACACGTGGCCCGAACGGGCCGAGCAACGAGCCCGCGACTCACACAGACCAAATGTGCCCTGCAAGTATACCTTCTTTTAGAGCTTCTAAGAAGCATTAAGAAAGTGTTTTCGTGGTGTTCAGAAAGGTTAACTGACTGTTTTGGGAACGTAACCCACTCACTCTCACTTTCTCTACAACTCACTCTATCTCACTCTCTCTCTCTCTCTCTCTCTCCAACTCACTCAACTTACGCGTATGCATTGTCTAAACGCTCTGCGTCGTCTTAGTTTGTGTTTAATGTTTGTAAATACATGTATCATTGTAACGTAGTAAATGCTTAAGTAGTAACTTTATTAAATACAAAATATGCTTACCTTGACTGATTGTCTTGCTCATAATACGGGTCAATGAAATGTCAATGTAAAGCTACACGCTTTACAGAACTATAAATACCTAAGAGGGTATTTGGTTATAGAGCAGGGAAGGCAGATTCTAGTGGCCACAGAATTTGTTTTCACAAGCTATATAACTTAATTGAGCTAATTGATTTTGCCTGTCTTGTAAAACGTGGTCCTTGCAATCAATAACAATTAATTTGTGGTTGATTGCGGGGATGCACATGTATGCATATGGGTAAAATTAATAAATTAATATGTAAGACCGGTCTGATCCAAATCTGTATGAATAATTATTAATTATCAATTATTAATTATGATATGCAAATCCCCCCCTGATCAGACCGACCCAGAGTCTTTACACTCATGCGCATCAGACCATACCATTAACAAACTCTCCACTGAGAATTAGACTAATTATTCTTTTGGGAAAAAACACTGTTTGATTTGCGAACAGAATCCTCTCCTGTCTAATCGCTCCCAGTTCGATCCGGACTCGCACTAACGGCAAATCCTTTTCATTGTCCGATTTCGGCAAATCAGTTTTGGGTAATTCAAACAACATGATTATTGTTCACAAGTCCAACATCAGACACACAAGAAAACACAAACTCTTGCTGGGGGAATAATATGCTGATGTGATTTGCTGCCCAAGAAACAGTTCTGATTATTAATGTTTTTTTATTTATTATTTAAAGTCAGGATGATTTGATGAATAGGTTCAAAGTCGATTAAATCCGAAATTAAAAAAAAGCTTTTGTAACATTATAAATGTTTACGGTCACTTTTGATTACCTAGTTTAATGCATCCTTGTTTAATAAAAGTACCGGTAGACTATATTACTTTCTTTAATTTAAATGTGTAATGTTACAAAAGCTTTCTATTTCAGATAAATGCTATTATTTTGAACTTTGTTTAATGTGACTTTTTTGTGTGATGTTAAAATTTGTTTTAGAATTAAATTGTACATAAACAGGTTAACCGAAAACTGTTTATGTCTGAGAACCTTTTATACACATACGAACCTGAAATGACACATACTGTGTGATACAGTACAAATATTTTGAGTGTCCCTTATTTTCATGTAAAGAACCACAAAATTGTCCCGCATTTTTTTCTTTTCTGAAGCTGGCAACCCTAACACACACACACACACACGCACACACACACGCACACACACACACACACACGTTTCTTATCAGTCTAGTTCAATACGGAATTGAGAAAGTAATGTTACATTTTTGAACACTGAAATGATTGAATTCCTTGTGTTTGAATGCCCCTATGTTAAAGTTAAAGCTGTTCACAACTGTGGTTCCACTGGTAATGTGTTGGTCAGTCACATGTGGAACATGATTTATTTTCCCATTCATGTCTTTTGCTTTCATTTATTTTTTAAATTGTTGTTGTACAGCCATGCAATAAAATATCAAGAGAAAAAAAAACATCTTTTGCAGCTTTATCTTTTCTTCATTTGATTGAGTTCTGTGGTGAACATGTTCTATTTATTACTAAATATTAAAACTGATATGAAACTTATTTGTTACCAAGAATTTCAGCATTAAAAGGTTGAACAGTATTTAATGGTGATTTTCTTGAACGAGTTTGAATCCCGAAATAAGGACTTTAAGACCCTTTTTGTTAAACATACTTTTGCGGTTACAAATGATGAAATCACTTTTTTACTTTTACAAGATACCAACAAATCACACAGTGAGATCGTTTTCTTGAACTCGACATGTTGCACATGTTTGTTGAATTGACAAATCTGCATCTGATCATTCACAGCTGAGTAAAACTCAAGAAAACTCCAGTTAACAGTGACATGGAAACCAGTTAAACCGTAACATCTGATGATCATCTTTAGCGTCAGCGCATGTGGTTCAAACATTAATAACTAGGATTGGGACTGTCAACATTTTAATGAGAACACTATTGTAATATAACAATAGACATAGGCTACTAATTATAAAAAATTAAAAAATGCGAAAAAAAAAAAAATATGTGAGGGTTATGTTTAGGGGACAGAAAAAAATTGCCGCAATGGAAAGTCCTCATAATGATAGTGCCACCACTGTGTGTGTGTGTGTGTGTGTGTACAGTATACGAGTCAAAAGTATAAACTGTCAGTGACATGCAAATAAAAACATGTAACTCTAATAACTTTAATATTTAAGAACAAGTTTTAACCTGAATAAAATATTCTCTGCAAATACATTATTTAATATATTTTTTCATGCTTTAGCTTCGATTGGAACTATTTTCATTGATAGAGCAAAAAACACAAAGTGGATCATCTCCTTTCACAAAGACCTCATCTATATTTGAAAAATAAATCGAAAGAACTACTTACCAAAGACATAAACAACAAATCTCTTGTTTGTGTTTCCTCTGCTGCTGATGATCTGTAGTTTATATTTTCCAGTGTGTTCAGTTGTGATGTCTGTGATGATCAGAGATCCAGTCTTCTCATCCAGCTTCAGTCTGCCTCTGAATCTCCCATCATCATCAGCATCATCATGTGTTTTCAGAGTCCCTCCTCTGATTTCAGCGATGAGAATGTCTCTAAACCTCCACTGTATCTGATCATCTTTCTGTATTTCAGTTTCAGGGTTTATGATCAGATTCTTTCCCTCTTTCACTAATATCTTCCTCTCTTCATTAGTGACAGCAGCAGATAGAAACAGAGAAACACACGGAAATGTTGCCATTAGTGTGAGCATGTGAACATAAGAATTTGAAATTACAACATAAATATAATTCAGATAATATTCCATCACTGTCTCTCAGTATCACTGTAACGAGTGAAACAGGACCCTGAACCGACAGCTGACGTATCCTGACTTCTTTACACATAACTGTATTATTTAAACGATCACTTTGCATAGGTAAGATAAACTGATTTGCTGATATATGATGTAGTGTTTGGGACCCTATTTGAGTTGATCAGTGGTTCATCTTAAAACTAACATCACACTTGTAACATCAGGAAGTTGGTTAGAGATGGAGCAGCTAAAATATAATGTTTTTTTTTAAATTAATATAATATTGGATGTTATAGTAATGTGTGATTGTTTGGGGACTGGGGATCCTGCACAATTCAGAGTGACTGTGCAGTGCTCTGTTCTGCTAGTATATACTACTCTCATGAGATGCTTTTTTCAGACACTTCTGGACAGTCTACTTTATTATTTTTATTTATTTAACCAGGTTCTCATATTGAGATTTAAAACCTCTTTTCCAAGAGAGACCACCTGGCCAAAATGAACAGCGCACAGTAACAAATATAAACAAACACACGTACATAAACATAAAAAAAAATCAACATTACAATACTTAAAAGTACAATTCTATACATTTTAAAAGGTCTAATTACTATTAGTAACATATTAAAAGCAGTGACAGCAATTTATAGCATCTATTTACAAAGATTTCATGTAGTGTTTAAACTGACCAAAAGAAATCAGATTTTGCAACTTCAAATCAATCTGCAATGTGTCCCATGTGGAAGCGGCTGCATAACTAAAGTTCTGTACGGACCTTAGGTACAAACAACAAATACAAGTTACCAGAACGCAAATTGTAGGAACAGTTGCTACGACACATATAAGTGCAAAGACAAGCAGGAGAGCATATCCAACATCGACTAGTAAATAAACGTAAGCCAATGCATGTGCCTCCTCATTGATAATGAAGGCCAATCTGTCCTTTTGTACAATGATGTGTTGATGCTGTACATCCAGTCACAAATCTTAGTGCACTATGAAAGACAGTATCCAATAAAGATAAACATTTATCAGGCGCATTTCTATAAAGCAGGTCACCATAATAGAGTGCAGTGAGAAATGTTACAGCAAACAATCTCCTGCTGGTTTTCCAAGAAAAACAGGCTTTGTTTTTAAAATAAAAATCCTATTTTTAATTTGAGCTTCTGTACCAATTTATCAATGTGCAACTTCAGTCTGAATCTGTTACAATGCTAATAACCATGGAAATGTGTCATTACAGTCTGTAAATATCTCTTAACAACACAATGCAATCACTTAAACCTTCTATTAAAAAAAGTATCTGGTAAGAATATATTCTATATTAACAATGCATTATATCACATTACACATTAATTAACCACAATAAATGAAACAAATTAAGTGATGTCTCGACTCAAGTCAACTGAATTACAAGTCATTGGACAGGCGTCCAATCACAATTAACTTCCGGAAAAGGGGAGTCCCGCCCCTCGACTGTTAAAAATAACATTTGTTCGAGCGAGAAAAAGCAGCAGGCGAGAGCAGATCAAGCGCGAGGGCGTGTGGAATAGGGGTGCAACGGTACAGATTGCCCACGGTACGGTCCGTACCTCGGTTTTTGGGCCACGGTCTCGGTTCGGTTTCGGTACATGTTTTGTGCAGAAAGAGACTGCTATTTCATCCCAAAGATATGTTTTATTTTTCTTATGAGCATAAACAGAATGTCACAGTAAGAACATCAATGTGTATGGAATAAATTAACACTCTAGTCTGTACTGAACCTCTTCAACTACCATATATGAAATACAAAATGTAAACAAGCAAACTTTAAAATATTCAAGTGGATCCCAAATCCAAACCTTGATAACTGGTAAATGAAGTGATCAATGTGAAAGAAAAAGTGCACTTTTACCTTTAATATAAATTAGCTTGTGGTTTGAATAAAAAGAGCAGAGCAAAATAATATAATTAAAAAAAAAATACTGCATTCAGGATACAAAGTGCAATGTTATTTACTCATCCACTTTTGAGAGATTCTTGTGCAAAAATATACTGCAGTCAAACGTTTGACTGGGTTTGCGTTATGCATCTGTGCTGGGAATGTAGAGAGTAGGCTACGTGGAGCCGGAGGTGAGGCGTTTATTTAGTAAGCGTGAGCGCGCTGGGGCGGGCACGTAACTTACATTCGCAGCCTGACTCATATGAGTATTCAATGTGCGGCGGCTCACTAACAACAGTTGGCTGTTTTGAATGAGATGACCCGTGTGAACGGGGAGCGCTTTATGAACATCTATGACGCGCGAGCAGCGCCGGTCTGTTCGTGTGTCTGTTAGTGAGCGCTCGTGAGCGACACACACATTACCTGATTTATACGTGGTTGAACTGGCCGTGTGACAAACAAAGCGGGCATAAGCTGGACACGAGCGCGAGTTCGCGGGCGAATTTAATAATGCGGAGCGTTGTTAACTAATTGATCCATAGCTATATAGTAAGGCGCTCCGGAATATAAGGCACACTGTCGTTTTTTTTTTTTTGAGAAGATTAAAGGCTTTTAAGTGCGCCTTTTATAGTGCGGAAAATACGGTAAAAGGATCAGCACGAACTCTATGGCAGAACCGAAGTCCCGCGGGACACGAGGTTAGATTGTCCCGTGCAGGGCTGACCGAACGGTCCGGGATTGTACCGTGTACCGTTGCATCCCTAGTGTGGAATGATCATGCACGCGCGCGAGGGCTTGTATTGCGTACAGAGGAGATGTCACGAGCGCGCACAGGATATGAATGAGCTCGCGAGTCCCCGTTTCCTCACGTGTGGATCTGTTTTCCTCTCGCGAAAGTCATTTACCTTTATAAACACTGATTCATTCAGGTATTAAACTGTGATCCTGTCTGTTGCTTGTAGACGCCTAACTTCTGTGGCTTATTTTTTTTAACAGACAGTACTTTTTATTGAAAAAAGCAACATCACACTCGCAAATGTGCTGTTAGTCTGATTATATGACCTTCACATCAACAGAAAATAAAACTAACCGACAAACATGCCTTGCTGACAGTTTTTAAAATGTAAAATCCTAATAGAGGGAATAAGGTATTATAAAAATAGGTAGAAATCACGATTCAATAGAGCGTCGTAGTAAAAATCTAAACATATTTAATGTGTAATTCCTTCAGTGTGATCACTTCTCACTTCCTTTGACAGCAGCAGTCAATCATAGTTATCAGAACACAACAGACCTTAGCAGAGGCTCACTTTCCCAAAACCCTTCAGTAATTCATAAGCCTTCAGTACACAAGTTTAGTTTCGAGATGTACATCACTGAAAGCATTGATAACTTGATTTTAGTTCAATAGAAGAATTTGAAACTTTAATATAAAATGTATTAAAAAGTGACAAACGTAAATGTAACTGATAATAATAATTACATGCAAGAAGTGTGATCATTATTACACTGACTAAAGAAAGATACTCACTTCTGAGATCAACTATGAATGTCTCGTATGAAACCTCTTTTGGATGTGATCTGTAGTTGATAAACTCCAGCATGTCTCATTTCAGTGTCTGTGATGGTCAGAGATCCAGTCTTCCTGTTTCAGCTCCACTCTGTCCCTGAATCTCCACCCAGCAATACCATGGTCTATATAGATGTCTCCTCCTCTTCTGGTTTCAATTATGAGATCTTCATTTCCAAATCTCCACACTATGTGATCATCACTCTGTATTTCAGTATCTGGATTTAGAGTGAAAGTTTCTCCTTCTAACACTGACACTGTGTTCACTTCACGTCACAGCAGCACATAGAAACAGAGAAATGAGAAGGTGGAGGTTATAAACACAACATTTCCCAGGAACAACTTTTGAAGAGGACACAAATAATACAGCCAAAATGTTACTTGCAAGGATATGTGTACACACATGATTAATAACCTTATTAATATTAGTGTAGCATGGAGACAGTGCCTTTATCCTTCTTTTCAAAGTTTCTCTCTGTTTTAATTTAACAAATTGACCAAATTATTCCTCTTCAAAATCATTTATTTATTGCAATGTTTTTGAAGTTGTTATTGCCATGTTTGTTGTAGTGGATGACAACAAGTTATGGTATTAAACAAGCTACTAAACAAGCTAGGAAGCTAGAAAATACATCGGTTATCATCCTTTTTTTCCGTCATGACTAATTTATTAATGTCTCCACATTGAAGTTCTTGACAGCATTGTAGGTGCAAAAGAACATTTTTACTCAGGATTCAACGTGTTAAACATCGTAACATCAGCTGCCCACCTTAGATGGGGGGGTCCCTCAGGGCTCAATTTTGGCCCCTATACTTTCTTCCCTGTATATGCTACCTTTGGGATACATTTTTATGAAATATGATGTGTCGTTTCATTGTTACGCAGACGACATTCAGATTAAAGTTCCTATTAAACGGGCAGGTAAAAATTCACTTGAGCCCCTGCTGGCGTGCCTAGATGAAATTAAGAAGTGGATGTCTGGAAACTTTTTAAAATTAAATGAAAAAAAAACTGAACTGATACTCCTTGGCCCTTCTAAAAGTAGTTTAACCCTCTCAGACCGATGGGAGCGTCGGCGCTGCGGTTTGCGTGTGTCTGTTTAAGAGCCTATAGAAACTGAAACCAAATGGCTAGCTCAATCATTCTTTTTGCATACAAAACCAGAGATGTAACATGTTCAGAGATCAAGCCTCCAACATGCTCATGTTGCGTTGTTTTCACCCTCTAATGAGTCTGTATAAATTGCGTAATATGTGTTTACAAAAAAAAACAACACAAAAATGCATTGCACGTCTTTGCACACGTTCTGTAGATCTGCGATTGATAGTTACGTCTTCCGATGGCGCATTGACGCATCACGTTCTGTGCACTATGACTCCAGCGTGTGTCGCATATTGTG